ACACTACTAAGCCAAGTACCCAAGTGGCACATCTTAGCGTCTTTTAAATCCCTCCTGCAATGGTGACTCCACCACGTCCCTGTGCAGCCTGTGCCAGTGATGGACAACCCGTTCTGTGAAGGAATTTTTCCTAATATCCAACCTAAACTTCCTTTGGTGCAAGTTAAGGTCATTTCCTATCACCCTATCACTTGTTCCATGGAAGAAGTGACCAACTCCCACCTGGCTACATCCTCCATTCAGGCAGTCGAGAGTGATAATGTCCCTCCTGAGACTCCTTTTCTCCAGGCTGAACACTCCCTCAAATGCTCCTTACAAGACTTATGCTCCAGACCCTTGATCAGCTGCCCTTCTCTGGACACACTTCTGCACCTCAATGTCCTTCTTGCTGTGAAGGGCCCAAAACTGAACACAGGATTCATTGTGCAACCTCACTAGTGTGAGTAGTTGGGGAAGATCACTATTCTATAGTCCTGCTGGCCACCCCATTTCTGATTTAAAATATCTTGTATGGTCTTTTTTCAAACACTTCAGTACCCCTCTATATTAATAAGATCCGCATATTAATCATGAAGACTCCCAGATTCTGAAGGATTTGGACACAGAATCAACCCTTATCTGTGTTGCGACAGCTCATACCAAATATAGAATCACAGAATATGCTGAGTGGGAAGGGACTCACCAGGATCATCCAGTCCAACTCCTGGCCCTGCACAGGACGCCCCAAGAGTCACACTGTGTTCCCAAGAACATTGTCCAAACACTTCTGGAACTTTCTCAGGCTTGGTGCTGTGACCATTTCCCCGAGGAGGGTGTTTCAGTGCTTAACCACCCTCTGGGTGAAAAACCTTCTCCTGATCTAACCTAAACCTCTCCCGACTCAGCATTGCGTTGTTTCCTCCAGTCCTGTCACTGGTCACCAGAGAGAACAGATCCGTAGCTGTGCTTCTGCTTCCCCTTGTGACAATGTTGAAGATCCCAATGAGGTGTCCCCTCTGTCTCCTCCAGGCTGGCCAAGTGACCTCAGTTACTCCTCCAGACATTCCACCATCTTTGTTGCCTCCTTTGGACACTCTCTAATAAGCAATATTTTTAAAAGAAGAAAAAAGCATTTATCATGTGGACCAAGTTGAATCATTTTGCTAACGACAAGTATAAAAGCCTTTCTAAAGGGGTAACTAAATATTATATAACTATCTATTATATAAAGAAAGCCGTTCAGTCCTCTGCAATGAATTTAGATTGGTGGCTTCTGGTTGCTAACCCACAGACCTGTACTAATGTGGCTTTTGGAAGTAAACTCCTTATGAGTTTACTACTGGGACTCACTTTTGTCTGTCCTCATGATTGTCATGCAGGTGTTGGTAATGTGAGATTTTGGAGAAAGCACTCAAAACTACTGCAAAATACTCCAGTAACCTTCATTCCAGATGCAGGTAGAATGGCATGTCCAGAGGTCTGATAAGAGATGTAATTCTGTTCACACATTAACCATAATTAGATAAATATCTTGGTGTTTGTGAAAATAATCACTGGTGGAATAGTTAATGTTTAATTGATATTGCTGTCATTGCATTTTACAGCTCTCACTTCTTCAGGATGAAAGGGTGTGATTCCCATGTTCAGGTTACCAGACCCTCTGTTTGATTGTGCTTTGCACAGAGCATCTCAAGTGTTGGAATCCTATACTCCCCAAAGCAGTATTATGGCACCAAGCAGCTGACACTGAATTCCTGTGCTGATAGGTCTGTGCATATAACAGGATTTGCTGACTTTCTTACACACAGTTTGCCTACTTGTTCTGGGAAATCTACTGGCTGTCCAATTGCTGCCTCCCCACTTCTGTGTGCCTTTTGGGCCTGTGAGGCTGGCTGAAGCGAAGTCAGTTTTCCCCAGAGCAGCCCTCAGTGCTGTGCTCTGTACTGGAAAGGAGTTGGTAACTTGTTGGTGCTTGCTGGGACAGCATCACAGGTGTATCTCCAACATTCCCCTCTCACCAGTAGGCTGAGGGTGGGCAAGATCTTGGGACAGGACATAGCCAGGACAGCTGACCCAAACTACCCAAAGGGATATTCCACATCATATGACATCTGCACAGCAACAAAAGCCAAGAAAAAGGAAAGGAAAGGGTGAGGAGAGAGAGCATTTGTTATGAAATTTTTCTTGCAGAGCAACTGCTATGTGCACTGCTTCCCAGGAAATGGCTAGACATTACCTACTGATGGGAAATAGAGTGTAAATCTGTTTTCCTTGGCTTCCATATGCAGTCTTTGCTTTATTCAACTGCCTTTATGTTGATCCATGAGTTTTTTCCATCTTGTTTTCTCCCACCCCATTCTGCTGAAGAGTGCCAGAGCAAATTGGTGGGCACCTGATGGCCAGCCAAGATCCACCCACCATTAGCCCAGTGCACAGAGTTTTGTACCAGTAAACTCCGCTGTGAAAGGATGGGTTTTGCAATAAATACTCAGAACTGCACAATCCATACAGATCCAAAGATGAAGAGGTGTTTTGTATTAAGGCTGCACTGGGGCACAGTCTGGCTAAAAGCCTGGAGGAGTTATGGTAGCTTTGCCTTGTCTTCCTCACACAACTCCAATTTAGAGCATTCTGTTCAGATCAGTGGCCTGTGTCAGGATTTTTATGGGAGTCTTGCCTCCTATTCTATAAGTCTCATACACAATCACTCAGTATTTCTGTCTTCAAAGAACAATAATAAAAATGGAAGAGTAATGCCACAAAGAGCTGTTAGGGACCTGACAGGGGTGAACTGGAATTAAAAAGTACAATATCTTTGGTCTACAAAACTGTGTTGAAAAATGGTTAAGGTTTTCCCTAGGAAGACTCTTGAGTATAAAATGATTGATTTTTTTTTTTTTTCTTAAATCTACTTACCATAGTTAAGTGAACAAAAGGAAACCACTGTCTTTCCATGCCATTTCCTGTGCTGAGAAAGTCTTTGTTACACACTACTGGGCCCTCCTGAGAATATTTTAAAATTACCTTTTGATATACGGGCTTCCAACATCTCTTCTGCCTCTGTTCACGTTCTTACAGGAGACAGACAAGATTTTTGAGGAATGTTCCTATTAAAAGGGGGGGTCCTTCATTTAGTACAACACTATTACAAGTGTTTTTGATCTGCTGTCCTAACAAATTCCTCTTGTTATTCTCTAACATAAATAGTGTTTCACAGTTATAGGTAAAGCGTATGGCATAATAGCTGTACAGTCTTGGCAAGCACAGAGTTGACAGCACTAATTTGCACACAGAGTTGAGGATAATGGAATATAATTAATGTTCTTGCATATATATGTAAATATAAGCAACTGTAAAGGAACTACTACTGAAAGTGTCTTGTACAAGTAGTTACTGAGGTAAAATAATTATGTGTATTTGAAGTATCAGCATTCTTTTCAAAACAGTAACTCTAAATTCAAGTATCAAGTCCTCAGTGACAAACAAGGCACAGCTCCCAATATGCTAATGAACAAATATGTATCATCATCCTTTTAGAAGGGACCACTTTCATTCATCTTTTGTCTCAATATTTTTTTAAATGTTGTTTCTGGTGAAGCCATGATCAAAAGCAGTTCATTAATACTTTCATCAGGTGGAACTTGTGAAAAAAATTCTGTGTTCCTGAAAGTCAGTTTGTATGGCTGGGAACTTTGAGCCTCATAGCTTTTAAATCCATTTGACATTTCTTTTGTAAATGACTGGTTTTGGTTCTCATCTGTATGATGCCTGCATGGTGGATATGTCACATATAATTCTTCTTCTTTTGTTTGCCATGGTACCTAAATGTGCTTAGCATTTTTTAGACCCTGTCCCTTCTCCAGGAAGGCCCAAGTACAGCTGGAGAAGAGTTCCTTTAGTAATATATTTGCTTTGTAAATATTTTTTACTTTCATACCTTATTTAAAGATTCCTTTCCACACAGACACAAGTATTTTCAGACCAGTCTGCACTGCCTAAGGCTGCATCCAACCTGCACTGCTTTACTTTGTGCTAAAAATAATTAAATTAACCCTATTCTGCATACTTCTGCATACTTATAGTGGACCTATAGTAAAGCAAATAAAGGCTCTCTTTGCATTTAAGCATTATCTTTCTGGGCTGAGAAACATGGTATCAGTCACACAGGAGACCTGCTCTACTTGATCTGCAGGGACCTACTTTTTCGTCCCCCATGGCAGGCTTACATCTCCCTAAGTCTCATAAAATCTGTTTTTATTGTTGTGCAACCCTTGACCACAGCTTAAATCTCAATCTTAATCACCTATTTTTTACCCCTAAAAGGCTGCATAAAACCAGACTTTTGGCAGCACTTTTACTGTTCCTAGATGGAAACAATTCACATTATCCCTCTTCCCCCAGACATTACTCTAGCTGCTGAATTACGAAGGAAAATACTGAGCAACCTGCTTTTTTGTTGGTCCTTCTTCCATTGTCAGGCTGAGTGCCCCTAAGGTACCCACCACCTCTGCCTTTCAAGTGAGGCAGCAAACACCTCCCTCCTAAAGGGAGCTCATCCTTCCCTAGCTGGCTGAGGGCTCACACAATGCCAGGCTGGAAGAGCTGGAGATGCACGGGAGATGCACTGGAGATGCACCAGTTGCCTCCTCATGGACCAACTCTCCCGTCCCACCCACACAAGGTGGCACTGTTGGTTTTCACTGTAGTCATGCACTCTTCCACCTCCCCAACACTGACACTGATTGAACTTAAAGGGTGTGATTTTCAACCTTCTTCAGTCTCTGAATCCCTATGCTTTTCCTAATTGAAGAGTGGGACTAGTCAGACATATAACATGGGGAGACTGCTTTGTAGGTCTTGTTTTTCTGCCTCATTCCTAAAGTCACCACAGCAGTGCCCTACAGACCCACGGGGCTGTAGATTCTGTGCTGCTGGTAAAGTCAGTGTCTACTAAAAGCACAGCCTTTGAACAAGCACAAGTAGAGATTCAGATCTTTTAAGACTATGTAAAAAAACCATGGTAGAATAGAAATGTTTATTCTTTTAAAAATGATAAATACCTTGAATTAAATTGCATAAAATAATTCCAAGTTGCAACTGTGGTCAATACATCAATTAATATATAATCCACCCGCTTTTGCTGTGCACCTCTATTACTGCTTTTATCTTCCCTATATACTATTGCTTTCTGATTATGCATATTCTCAAAAAACTTGCTTAAATTTGCTTAGGAGGGGAGTTTCAACTTGATCTGTTTCTTCTGTGCACAATATTTTTCACTGACTCTGCCACTTCAGCCCATTTAAAATTTCTAGCAACTAAAGAGAGAGTTTGTTTGCCAATGAACATGCAAAGAGCTGTTTAAAGCTAAGCTGAAAAGCAAGTTACAAGGGAGTTAGCTATCCCTCAAAACAGTTACATTTTCTTGACACCTACACCACTCAAGTGATCTTTAAACATTAAAAGTATTGACCAGCTAATAGTTCTAAGACTTCTACATTGCCTTTCATTCACCTGGCACCCACGTGGCTTTAAGTGTCTTGCCCAACCTTAAATTAGGCCAGTTGAATTTGCCAACTCAACATAACAAATTACCAGATGATTATAAAATCTATTTGTGATCAAGGGCTCTCCTTTGAGGAAAAACAGCACTCCCTAAATAAGGATCAAATCAACAGCAAATATGATTGAAGTCAGATGAAAGTGACAGTAACTGTTAGTTGAACACAAAAGATGGATCCTGATAAAGAAATTGAAAGCAAAGAGTAGCAAATGGTCCCTTGGTCCATATATCCAGGATGAGTCACATACACTGCTCCTCATTACCTTACCAAAAAATCACTTTTCCCATGCAAAGGAAAAATTTGTGAATTTCAAGTGAAAAAGAAACAAAATGCAGAAAAATATTGTTATTCCATCCCTTTTCCATTTTAAAATATACCATCTTGAACAGAAAGACAGTGCTACTTGTCTACTGACAACTGGTAGATGAAGAAGGAGACTCATTGCCTATTGCTGGCTGTCAGTTTCTTTTCCAGTTTCAATTCCAGAAAAGTGGATCTTCAATACATAAAGTCAGAAGTCTTCAGAATAGAACACGAGTGTCAGATTCCTAGAAATAAACACACAATTTCAGCAACTTCTACCATGCCAGAGTACAAGAAGGACAATTATTTCAGTATTAAAATAAATCTTTTAAGTTCAATCCTCTAAGGATAATGAGACAAAAGGGTAATGTATCTATAAGGAGTAATATCCCACAAGTAAACCTTTCCCAGGAAAATGGCAGTGAAAGGCCCGGCATCCATGTCTAAAATCTGGCAGAAGAGGCAAGACACACCCCCTCAGAATGTGTTTCTATTGTCAATGCTGTCCCTCACTCCCAGCCACAGCAGTCAGAGTGGTCCTGGCTACTCCCCAAGTCATATTTCCCATAAGGTTCTCCAAGTATAGCAATGCTCAGCAATTATTAGGAATCCCTGGATTTCTGTCACTCTCCCTTAACAATTATGCTAGGTTGATGAAGCACTCTGAAATTCTGAGACCTCCCAAAATTTCAACCTACAGCTTTCTGTCTAGTGAGAGACCTTCATGGGGCCCCCAAGTAAATCAGGGACAGAGCTAAAAAAGAAATCTAGAGCTCCTTAGGAACAGTAGGGGTTCTATATACATATTCTGAAAACACAATCTTATACTATTTTAAACTATCTATTTATAAAGTCTTCATGGATCTTTAAATATGAGAGGCACTTCAAAAATTAGCTTGATTTACAGACATTGTTTATCACGACTAATCATGCAGCATTAGAAAATCAAACCAATAACCATTAGCAAGTACACAGTTAACCATCAGTTTAACCATTAGTTTTAACAGCAGGAGAAAGCTGCATTTTGACTCAGTGCTTGGAAGTTCACTGCAGTCACAGCAGAGGAATTGGGCATTAAAATGGCAGGCAAGGCAAAACCCTTTTTTTCCCCAGATCGTTTCAAGAAGGGTTAACCCATCATAGTGTTATTATTGCATGTAGCAAGAAACATGAGAACTAAATCTATTAGTAGGTCTACAGCAGTCTCATAAGTCTTGTGATGCATGACAGTGTGATACAGTCTTGTTCCACTGACCCACGTGCATCCCTGCAGGGGTGTATTCACCCAGATGATTTACAAATATGGAATCACTATCATTTGAAACAGATCAGTGATTTATTAATGCAATGTATACAGATCCAGCTTTGGGAAAATGAATCTTCTTTCCTAATCCAACTTAAACACCTGCTGTTGTGGCAAATAGAAACCTCACTAATATACAACCAGCATCAGCTAAACGCAGCTAATGAAAGCATATAAAGCGAGGTCTGTCCTTTAATCGTTATTACTATTAGAGCTGCTGGGAGGACCCGAGGCCACACTGCGGGCTCAGCCTAAGAGGCTTTCGGCTCAGCACGCCCCACTCAGACAGACGAGCGTGTGAAAGCCTGCCCGCTGCTCCAGGGCGAGCAGCGGCCCCGCCGCCCCGAGCGCGGCTCCACAGGTCCTGCTCGGCGCCGGCGGGGTCGCGCCTCTCGGCGGTAGCGGGGCCCGGGAGGGATGCAGCCCCTCCTGTGGGTACCGCAGCCCCGTCCTCCATCACTGCAGGGACCACCCGGCCTTCAAGGCCCCGGTGCCCGGCCTGGGCGGCGGTAGCGGAGCGGAGGAGGGAGGGCTGCTCCCGCCCCGCTCCGCAGCGGCCCCGGCCCGGCCCTTACCGATGCACCGCACGTAGTGTTTTGCAGGAAGTTTCCACGCTCCTGGGTTTAATCCGCGAAAAGCGGGGCTGGAGAAGAGCGCGGCTGAATAGCGATGGAAAGGGGCGGGCGAAGAGGTGGAGGAGGAGGCGGTAGCAGCAGCGGCCGTGTTTAATTTTTTAATTAGGGCGGTTTGAGCATCTCCCGGCGGGGTCGCATCGCCGGGCGGCGAGGGGAGCCCGAGCGAGCTGCCCCCGCCGCCCGGGAGCACGCCGTAGCCCGAGCCGCCGGGACTCCGGGCTGGGCTTTGGACAGCGGGAGCCGGAGGCGCGGAGCTCCGCGCTCCGCCGCCATGGGCAGCGCGGGCGCGCAGGACAAGGGTTCGTAGCGCGGGCGGCGCGGCGGGGCCGGCGGGCGGGGCGCGGGGCTGACCTTGCGGCGCCGCCCGGCCCGGCCCGGCGGGGCAGGGAGGGACGGAGGGAGGCAGCCGGGGCGGCGGAGGGAGCAGGGCAGGGTAAGCCCTAAATCTGCCTTCCCCGGGGTAGCGGGGCCGGTGAACGCGAAGGCTGGGCGCGCCATCCTACAGCAACAATTGCTTTGCAGGTGCTCGGTTTCTCTCAGCCTCCATACCCTGGGAAGCAGGCAACACTTTTCCACATTGCCAAGTTAAGGATGATGCTAGTAAACGTTTTCTTTTCCTGCATCCCTATATTATCCAAATCTAGACCACGTATACGAATTCACAACACAGAAGCTCTTGTCCAGTGAAGACTCCAGGCTCATATATATTTGCTACAGATAAAATCTTAAATTGCAATTCCCTGTTGGAAGGCTGGAAGGGTCACAGCTCCGCTGCTGCTTCATTGCAGGGGAATGCTGTTTATGTGGAAATGTGTTGCTTGCACCAAGTTACCATGCTGCATAAAAGAGTGTAGGGCTCTCTTTGCAGAGCAGTAAGCCATGACTTCATTTGCTGAGCATCCATGTCCTGGCATTCTTACCCTCACCTCCCTAAATGTCTTAGAACCCATACCCTAAAGATAACACTGTTCTCCCCAGCAATTTAGAGAAAACAGGCACGCAGTGTGCACAGGAGTATGACAAGTCGGCTGTGTGGTCACAGTGCTCCTTTTGCAGCATTTCTGGCCCTGTGTTACTAACTCAGGTAGCTCAGAGTCTTCAGAGAATTCCATATTCATGCTGATTTCTATTTCTAGTCTACTTTCTAGGACTTCTCCATTGTTAATCTTTCCATCTTGCCACCTATTACCAGTTTCTGTAATAGTATTTCTGGAATACAGTTTTGTTTTCCTGAACAGATAGGTAATGGCAAATGAGGTGCTACCAATGCTACCAGAGAATGCCTGTTTATATGTCCCTTTCCAAGTTAGGTTTGCTGTTACTCAAGCACAAGCTCAGGACTGAAGCTATTCAAAGTACTTTCAGAATAACCACATCCATGAACCAGCAGCTAGGCTGTAGACATCCAAGAAGAGAACAGATGGCCACTAATGTGGTTAATTTTGTTACAAACTGTCATTTAGGAAGTGAGGTTTTATGCACCTGAGGCTTAGTCATGCCAAGAGGATGAATGCTCCCAGCTTGAGATCGTGTAAAGATACTAGTTTCCTGAGTACTGAGCCACTAGAAAAAAATCCCGTAGGGGGTTCTGTGAGAGAAGGACTGAAACCCAGAACCCCAGGAAGATTATCCTGCTTACTTTGTTGATCTTCTTAAATCTGTCTGTAAACCTGAGAGTAAAGGCTAGATCCAAAAAAAATATGACACCCTGTCACCCCAAACCACCAAATAGCTGAGGCTGGGATCTTCAATCCACACCAAACACTGGCAGAGTTGGGCTGGTGATTCTGCTAGAGAAAAAGAATTTTCCTTCCAGCTGCCTCACAATACCTAGTGCCCGTGGTGTTCCCTTTCGTCCCCCCATAGGTGCAGCCAGCACCCCCAGCTCATACCTCCATTTTTCTTAGCTCAGAATTAGCTATTTTCCTCATTCCTATTTTCTTGAGGATTCTGATTGTTTCTTCTGGCCTCAGGAGGACTTCCAGTGGCCTTCTTTTATTTCATAGCAGGATGTTAAGGAGCCTTTCTTTTTGCCAGTGTTTATATGGGTAACGAGTCAAAGGAGGAGAAGAATCCTGACCTGTAAAAAAAAGATTGAGCTCTGTCTGGGGCTAGCCTTCACAAAATGGCTCTGCAGATTATAAATGATACAATGCCTGTCCCCATGATGCAGTCCTAAAGGCTATCTTTGAGGATTTTGGGATCCAGGCCAGGTTAGTTAGCATTCAGAGTCTTCTGACTCAGGACTTTGACAGATACACTGCAGCAAATGAAAAGGTATCTGACTAACTGGGAGAGGACATCCAACCTGTGTGCAGCACTAAAATGTGAAAGCAATAAAAGGTACTCAAGATACCATGGGTTTGGGGATACATAATTAGAACAAAATTTCCTGTGAACTTTAAGGCTTCAATTACAGCTTCTGAAATTCAGGACAATGAACAGAAGAACACAAAGCTGCACATTAGAGTTTCCCAGAACCAATCCCCCCCCCACCCCAGGCAAAATACAGTTTTCTCCTGCAGCTTTTTCAGGCAAACTTTTGTTAAATAAGACTAAGATATCAATTTCTCTACATTTCAGCATAAATCAAGCTTTGCACAGAGATTTGTCCCATAATGTCGCCTGACAAGCACATAATGTACAAACAAATCTCATCTAATTCCAGTGTGTAAGCTGCAAAATTACTAAGACTGGAAGTCATATTCTTAGGAAATTACTCTGTGGTGAAGAAATGTTATGTCAAACACAAACCTATTTGTCTGGACTCAGCTCAAATTCAGGGTTCTCCATGGCCAGCCTACCCCTAACATTCTTCTCAATGTCTTTCAAGAGAGCAACTGGGATTTTTGGGTCTGGCTTTTCCAGGTAGTGACTATGTATCATTTTCCTGTATAAGCCTTGCTTTTAATTTTTATAACCCAGTATCCCAGGACTTTTGGAAAGTACTTTTTTTTCCTTGACTGGCTTTTACTCAAATCAACTGACTTCTAACAGAAATTTGTGATATTTAACTTTCTGTAATTTTTTTTTTCCTGCAGAAGGTCAAACTTAATAGAAAAAGTGGAAGTATGCCCAATGAAAATCCATATAGCAGGTGGGCTTTACCTATGATGTATTTTTCAGAAAATAAATATTGCTTGTTGTTGACATTATTTCTAATTCCTATAGGCTGCATCTGGATCTTTCTTCCAGCTTAGCAGGAATTAAACAGCATGACCCAAAGAGCAGAATATAATTCAAAACAAGGAAGGATCTCATACACAGGTCTATAGAATAAACAGAACATAGGTTACTATGCTCTGGTTAATGTGCAAAGACTAACAGGAAACATTATATAATATCTACTGTATTGAGCTTTATTGAAAAAAAAAAGACATTGTGTTTTGCCCTTTTGCTCCTTGTTCTAAAATTTTTGTTCTTTAGGATAATAGTCAAAAATCGCACAACTTTTGAAATGAGAAAGGAGACACCAAACAAGAGAAAAGTTCTGTCAATTTCTGTCTGCTTGGGAATACGAAAAGTTATTTTTACTTTTTCTGTTATTTTTACTTGTAGGCTTACTCAGAGTATGGTTCCTCTCAGCCATGGCTGCAGTACAGAGTAGAGATACTGGAACTCCCTTTAACCTGGCTGAGCAGTGCAGGTACCTGAAGCAGTGTAGCCATGGCAGCACAGAGCTCTGAGTGGCCTAATTACTCTGCCAAGAAATAAATGGATACTAGCAATTCCCTGGGGAAAAAGAGGTTGAATTGTTAACAAAAAGAGTTTCCCCTGAGGCACATTCATTAAATAGGTGTTAGCAAGAGCCAGAAAACCTCAAGTTCTAACCTTACAATAAAAATGTCTTTGTCCTTTGGCACTTTTGATGTCACAACCTTCCAATTCTCCCACTGTCTATAGATACAAAAGAAAGATGTGATTCAAATATTTGATGGAAAACCTAACAAATGATCCCCACCCCCAACTAAAATCTATAGGTAAGATCTCCTTAGAAAGCCAAATACAAGAAGTTTCTCCTTCCTGGAAACATGCAGAGCTCTCCTGGTGGCAGCAGTAGGGTGGAGCTGCTTGAGCATCCTGCTTCCCTAGGACACACATCAGGGTCAGTCCCTGAGCAACTCGAGGAGCACGGGCAGATCTCCTGTTTACTGTGCCTGTGAAAATGGCAGGGTATGTATGGTGAAGACCAAGGAGAAGAAAGAAATGAGAGCAAGATTTACGGGAAAGGGATTTAATTCTGTTATCTCTTTTTCCACCAATCTTTGCTCATACACAAGAGTGGATGAGTACAGAGAAAGGTGAAGAGTTTTTATCTGTCTGCTCACTTTCTTACAAAGCTCAAAATACACCCAGCATTTTTTTCTGAAACTGGAGCCCAAGACTTCAGTAAAATTGCACACACAATCTTTTATTTTACAAGTTGGATCTATTTAGGTAGACTCTGAGCTAAATCAAATGAGTAAAATCCACATTATTTAGCTGAAATTGCCTTTGAGGTCAATGCAAGTTTAAGTAGCTTAAGCACAGAGATGTAAAGCTACTTCAGGAAACATACTGGGTTTCTGCATATTGAGACCTTAGAGAGTATTACCAAATCATGATCTATAGACTTGTGCCCAGTCTGACAAAATGCTGTTTGCAACAACTGAAATTCCTGGTTTGAGGAGACAGAAAGCCAGAAAATTGTGAGTTAGCTGTCTCAAAACAGAGGCCAGTAAGTGCATGGTGTGTAGAGGCTAATAGTTGCCATTTTATCACATTAATTTAAACATGAAAAAACAACAGGACACTTCTAAAATCCAAGCTGGTTTTCATTTTCAAATGCTCATATGTTACAGCTCAGATATATGCACCCCATTTAGAGCTAACCACACTGATTTGACATTTCTATGCAGGCAAAGAAGCAATAGAGGTGAAAATCCCTCAGAGCCACCAGGATGTGATGCCCAATGATGAGCAGTAATTACTGCAGCAACACTTCAGCCAGTATGAGTGTCAACGAAATGTCTGCCTTCCCTCTGACTTTAGAACAAAAAACTGGCTTTGCCTTTGTGGGGATTTTGTGTGTTTTCTTGGGACTTCTAATTATCAGATGCTTCAAAATCTTGCTAGACCCCTACAGCAGTATGCCTTCTTCCACGTGGGAAGATGAAGTTGAGGGGTTGGATAAAGGAACATTTGAATATGCTCTTGCATGAAAACTCACAGAATATCCTGCCTTAAATTTGATGTTGATTTCATTTTGGAAACCAACTGTTGTTACATTTGTTATACATACCTGCATTTTGGAGATATGTTGGTGGCATCCATTTTGTTAAATAAATATTTGTTGCAAACCCAAAAGGTACTTCATGTTGCTTTTATTTGATGAACAGAAGAATGGTAGATAAGAAATGGCTAAAAGCAAACAAATACACAAAATATCACTAGAAAGGTACCATGGCCAATATTTTAAGGATCAATGATATCTAGCTCTTCAGAGGAGGATCTCATGTCTACTGTGTCTCATGACAGGCTGAAGAAAAAGACAGGCTCATGAATGGTGAATGTTTAAGTGGTAGCCCCCTGCCCTCCTCATCCAGCTCAATTTTATGAAACTCAGTGTATGTATGTACTTGTACACTGAGGATGCAAAAGTGGAGGACAACAAGTGGTTGTGGCTTAGAGGAGGTGCCTGCAGGAGGTGTATGTCCATGTTTTTATTCCACTTGGTTACAGAAGATGATTCACTTTAAAGTGGAACTTAAGCTGTCTGCTTAACAGCTCCCAGCAGTAATTACACCAGTCTGGCAAGGCCACAGCAGACACAAACATGCTGGTTACCCAATTTTACCCAGTCCTCAAGGAGGGATGGGGTCCAGAGCTCTGTACACTCCATCACTCTCCACAGCTGATTCTTCTGCTTGTGCTCCTGCAGTTGTGCAGTGTATGATCTGAACTGTCACTGATGAACTGATCATGGGAGAACCCATCAAAGCAGAAGTGGAAGAGCGAAAGCAGAGATTCAAGTCTGGATATTCAAGGTCACCCTCATACACACAGCTGTTTAGCAAGTGTGACAGTACTTGACAGAAATTCAATTCCGTTTTTAAGAGACTGGCATTAGAATTTTAGGCACTGTCACTTTTGCTAAACAGATCTGTTTGCAGTGAGGAGCTAAGACAAGGAGATCAGTTACAGCAGTTGTTTTCTTTTTCCTGTATTCTGAAAAATACATGTTATTCCTTTTGCCCTATATACTAGGCAAAGGCAGACAGTGGAACAGCAGACCTTAAGTAAAATACTCTATTGTACAGAGAAAGACATTAATCTCCTGTCTGAAAAATACAAGAAATCAACAGCCAATATTAATCTACACTGGTCCATTTAAATTATAAAACATAAAAATTTTTGTGAATGTAAAGGCTTTCAACTGCTTCAGATTAGACATAAGAAAAAATTCCAGACCCTCAGTGATTCAGTATATTACATTTATCCTAGTTAATTTAGCCATAAAATTCAAGCTAGATATCAGTACGATGATTCATGTGACCTGTTATTGCTGGATAGGATCATCCACTGCAGAGACCTGACACGGCCATTTTTTTTATGTACATCTAATCAGCACAGCTGAGCTCTGGGCTGTCAGGTTAGAGTGCTGAAGGTACTTAAGTTATCTGGGTTAAATATACTTATCTCTAAACCGCACAGCAAACACTGCAAACATATCCAAAGAACCCCAATATTGTCTCATTATTTTTGGTTTTGACCTAATCTATTGCTGGAAGCAAATTATCTAATTCCCTTCTAATTACAAAGCTTCATCATTTCCTGCCTGCTCTTTTCTTCACCACAAAAAGACTAGGAAGTCAGCCTTCCCAGAAACAATACAGAGAAAATAAGTTTTCAAAGGCTTATTAAATATACAGAGTAAAACTTTAAATAGGGGCAGAAGTAAATGGTTTAAAACTGCATGTAGGACAAGAAGACCCCCCCCCAAAGAATGATCCCACTGACTTCACTGAATCTTCTGCATAAAATGCACTGAGCAGATCCTGTCCTGAACTCTTGTTATCTCCATGACTATATATGCAGAACTGAGAGATAGAGAGAGTATGATCTGTGCAGAATCAGGCATAGCAGGGAGGGAAATGGAGATAACAAAAGCATTTTCAGGCCCCCTTAGAAATTTCACAATGCCATAAACCCAGTAATTGTAATGGATAGGTACATTTGCTGGTTAAAAGTTAACAAGCTAGAATGCCTTTCTAAATCACCATCTAGAAATGTTTTGAAAGAGAGGGATTGGATGGTCTACTCAGTATATTAAACAAGAGAAAAATCTGGCCAATGAGGCAAAGTCTGTAATGCCTCAAAGAGAGGGTCACACTATATACAAGAATAAAAGAGGCAGATTGTCCTTCCAAAAACACAGGATTGAGTGGTAAGTTAAATTACCCTGAATAAGGTAGACTTGATTATATATGCATAATGCTGGAAAACTAAACACAAAGTTAATGGCAAGTAACAGTTCAGAGTTCTCTGGAAATACATTGTGAAAACCTAAGTATTATTTTCAAGAACAGCAGAAAGGTAAGAGATTTTACTTTTCCTAGCAAAACACTAATATGGAAATAGGACTATGAAATGACAGAATCATTTTACTTGGCAGCAAACATTTAATTGTCATCAAAGAATCAGGATTTCATTCACTCATGGAGATGGAAACAAACAGCTTCACTGACCTTAATGATAGAAGATTTGCCTTTGCTTCTTCAGGCCTGAAGATGAAACACTTCTTTGTAACTTTAAAAGGCTGAAGGAAGCAAAATACTATGATCATAAATGTGTAATAATAATAATAGCCAGTAGAGGTAAAATAAACTAAATAAATGTAATATGTTGCTATGAGTCTTATACAACATTAAGCAGGAAAACCAACATAAATATGCAGAGTGACAAAGAGGTGTCTTAGCAGAGAAGTGACAGCAGAATATTACCTATAGCTGATGGAAGAAATAAGAAAATATACTTCAGCTGTAACTCCTACTGAAGATGGAAGATATCTGATTACCAGTTCTTCAAATTATAATTTGGATATGTGATTTTAGAGAAAATTTACATTGTTGAACTATAAATATTGATGCCGTGTTTTATCTTTCAGTGTCAAAGGGCCAAATCATTGAGACATTTAAACTGAAAAAATCCTAGGGGTTCATCTAGTCCAACCTCTTGCAAAAATATGGAACTTTTAAAACATGTCTGTAATGAGCATATTTTTCTAGATTTTCATATATTGGTTTATAAGAAATATTTTGTTTCTAAAACTTTATGCTTTTACAAATGCTTGCAGAGTTTCAATGTCTAAGCATGCTCTGGTTTAGTGCCTTTGAACAAGCTGGGCTACTACTGAATTATACAAGTCTATACAACCACATTTCCTAATCTCCTTAGAAATATGTTTCAAGACAAATGATTGCCATCATTTCAAGAGCTTCAGGGCTTTCTAAGCCACACTTTAAATTGCTGCAAAGGTACTTAACCTACTAAAGGCCTTAAATATACATACCCCTCTTCTCTTGGCGTTTTTGTTTGCTTGTGTGTTTTCTTTGAGGAGATCTGTGTGGGAAAGAGGAGGTGAGAAGCAGATTATACAGCTGAGTGTTCACTTCTCTATGGGCTGTCACTCAGGGGGACCTAGACAGGCCAGCAGGAATCTCATGACATTCAATGAGGACAAATACCAATCCTGTACTTCAAACAGATTTAACATCTATACTGTACAGGGAGCAACTCTCCTGGAAGGGATTGCGGGAGCAGGCTACAGAGGAGTGAGCCCCATGCTATCCATGTGTTAATTGCATGATCATGCTCCAAGCTTGTGTACATGGATGCTCACCATGTCACCCTGATCTTCTGTGGGTTTTCATAAAACAGATTGAAACTAGAGGAGTCCTTGGCCCATTTAACAGCTCAGGCCTTGTCCTCCTCTGGAGCTTGTACCCAAATACTCCTGGTTTGGTTAGGGTGTCAAGTGCATCAATCACAGATGGAACATCTCCACAAGCTCTTGTCTTTTCTTCAACTATGTTTTTACTCAACAAGTCATAGGATGACAGTCCCATGGATAATTGGCGAGGCAGGAGAGAGGGGAGAGCTTGTGGTGGAACACTTATCTAACCATGCAAGATAATAGAAAATAGTTTATTTATATCTTTTATAGCAGTAAGCCAGCAGCCAACATCAGGAAGACTGCTTAGAAATTCAAGAGAAAATTCTCAGCCCTTCATTACTTGAGAAGCAAAGGTCGATATGCAACAGCACTAAACCCTTGGCTGTGTCTGCACCTGTGTGGCTGCAGCCACAGAAGAGTACACGGATCAGTGACCCAAGTCTGTAGCATCCCTGAAGATGTCAATGAACAATGCACCAAATGTATTCTTGGATCCAAATGCAAATCGGTTTCAAGTTAACATTATTAATGAAGACCATGACAACAATGAAACAACCCAAGAGGATGTAGGCTCTGACCCACCACATTATGAAGAAACATCTTTCACTGATGAAACACATAACAGACTAAGAATCAGTTATAGACCAGGAAAAAGAGAATTATATGACAATTTCCGGCAAAATGGGGAGAAAACAGAAGCTAGTTTACATCCCTATGACACTCACAGTAAAATGTATTATCTACAAACTTTTGGCCATAACACAATGGACCCAGTTCCCAAAATTGATTATTATAGAAACACTGGCAGCATCAGTGGAAATAAGCTCAGCAGACCAAGCTTATTAGAAATTCATGAACAACTGGCAAAGGTAAGTGAAAAGGAAAGATATAATTTTTCTCTATTCCATTTCCAGACTGTTAATTCTGTTTATTAAGAGAAAGTCCTTAAATTCACGGACCTTGCCCAAGAGAAGAAGTACAAGTAACTACTTACCATATTTCCTTTGGTAGATGCAGTTTGTTGTCTGCTCTGTACCCTGCTCAAATATTTTTATTAAAAGGAAATTGCAATGTGCTTGATAAGCAGAAAAACATAGCTTAATCTTGTCTAGAAGTATGGATCTACCAAATCTCATCTGTTTCACATAAGAGTTAGGATGGCAGATGGTGAATGTCAATTCATACTTTAACCAAACTACACAATTCACACATTCTAAACTTGAATTTTACATCAATGCATACTAATTTTTAAAAGATTCCTCCATTTTACTCATTAACCAATATAAGTATTATTAAAGAAAAATATGTGAAACAAATGCAATTTCAGTTAATCAGATGTCCAGAGCACTACCTGTTTGTTGCTGTAACAAACCCAAACAGCAAGAAAGAATCCAGAACAAGGGTATTGAGGGATAGCAGACAACACTTCTCAGGTGCTGATTCAATAAACAAATTTGAGGTTAATATACACTTATCAGGGCAGGGCTGGAAAGAGAAATATCATTGCTATAGTTAAATTGCGACTAAAAGTGTCAATATGCAGCAAAATCTCCCATTCTTTTTTTGAGTTAGGCAATTGTGAAATGAGAAAACTTGAGAGAAAATAAGCTCTCATCCCTATTCTGCTCAGTTCTTCCTACTTCTGAGGTCTGAATAATTTGGACAAGCTTCTGATTTTTGAATGCTTGTCCAGATCTTGTTCAGATTTCTGTTCTCTGGCAATTCTTCTTTCCTATGGAGGGTTAATATAAAGTAATGAAATCAAGAAAAAAATATAGCCATTAGTCAATTAGGAGTTGATTCTTTAGGATTCTATTAGGGCAGCTTCCTAGTTTTGGCGTGACTTTTATTAAGCTTTATTTAAATTAAGCTCTTCATAGGCCTGTGTAAAATGGCTTAAAAGGACAAACATTTCCAAAGATTAAAACAAAGCAGATGTGAAAAGGGAAACATAATAATTTAGTACCCCTACTCATTTGTACAAACTGCTACTCAAAGGACTAAACACATTTCCATACTCAGAAGAAATATCCTCTTATAGAAATAATTTATTTCAGTAGTGGCCAGAAAGGAGTAAAACTGCATCTCGGCTTTGAGCATAATGCTGAATGAACATGTACTGAACATCAGCACATTAAAAGATTTTCAGTTTTGATGGTAACCAGAAAATTCTGGGTTTTTTACTGTTGTATCTCTCAATGGCCTGCATATTTTAAACAAAATATATTTTTTAGGGTTTTTTTTAAGGCTTTCACTTAAAGATGATTAAAAAGAAGGCAGATTACATCACAGAGTAAAATGAAGAGAAAATTGTTTCACATGTTGGGACTGTTAGGAAAAAGAGAAAAAAGCGTAATCTAATTTAGAGATTTCCAGAGTTTTTCCAGTATCCATCTTACAGAAAGATAATCTCATGTCTTTCAAAAAAGGAAGGTGAATGTCATAGGTAATAATGGGATTTTTGTTACACTGGCAACCTGCTGTGCCCTTTTGTGGGTTGTGGCCCTGGTCTGGGAGCCACAGCTCTGGAACAAACGATGCCCCATTAGCATGGCTGGAGCCCATTCCTGCCTGTCCCATGATCTCACTTGCTGACCTTGGACAAATCACTTCTGTCTGCAGAGCTTTTGCTGGAGAATGAACAAACACGAGGTCACCAAATAGGAGCTTAGTAGGGAAGGGAATGGAGATGTCTGAGAAAGCAGAGCTCCTCTCAGGAGGCACAGGCTGTGCGTGCCTTGGACGGGGCACCAGCCCCCGGCAGGGAGGGGAGGAGAAGCCGCACTGAGCGTGGACAGGAGTCACAGTAATAGCCCAAGGTGCACTTCTGAAGCAGATTCTTTATTCCTTTTTGACTTAACCACTAAAATCTGGGTTTACCACACCATACCCCAAGGCAATCCCACCCCCCTTGCCCCAGCTTTGAAACTTAAGTTTTTGAAGACAACTGTTCTGTCAGAGCCCATTGCAAGATTCTGATAAGATGTGGCATATGTTTGACTTCAGATTGCTAAACATCACATAAGCATTCCCATTGTGCTTTGATGCTGGGCTAAACATCAGAAGATAAACATTAATATTGAATACATTTTTAATATGTAATTTTTGAAATGTCAGAATGTAAGACAGGCTGAAAGGAACTTCAAATATCTAGTTTCCACACTGCTGGAGTAAAATGTGTGTCATCTTTTAGCAAGACATGTCAGTTTTTGCAGACATTAAGCCAATTAAATCCCTAAAAAATAGTCTAAGTGCTATTTTACAGCTGATGGCTGGTGATAATTACTTGGGCTTAATATTTACCCTACATAAGAAATAATCTAACCTTTCTTCCTCTTGGCTATTCTCCACACTTGTTATGGAGTTTTGATGAGCTCATCATCTTTAGCCCCAGGAGAGATGAAGACTAAGCCATTCTGAAACAAGGAAAGGAAAATGTTTGGGTTAGTTTTTTGAGTTTTTTTTAAAGCAGTTGTTTTTATTTTAGTAACTTTTCAAAATGTTCTGTCAATTTATTCCACATCCTTAATGCATGAGTAGCACAGGTACAGCTGCTTGGAAAATAACCAATCATTCACTAAAGCACACCAATTTAAAATGCATTTATGGAAGGTTTAAGGCCATAATTTATGATAACGGCTTGGAGAGGACAAATTAATTCAAACTACAGAGGAAACAACTTGTTTCAAGTACAAAGACCAAGCCCTTTTAATTTTTTGTCTTTGAAATTCTAATCACTGTAGCAAAAGCTTGTCATATTATTCTGCTAATCTTCCTTCATTGACTTCAATCATTTATTATATTTTGAGCAAACACAGACATTCTTACCCTTATTTCAGGGTAAGAATTGTCAAAATTATCTAAGTATCTCAAAGGAGCTCAAAGTCACAGGCTTTCAACACATCTTGTATTCCCACTTTTCTTTGGGCGAGCAGGGAAATAGGCACCAAGTTTAGCCCATGTCAAAACATATTATCCAGTCACTTATTTTTCAATTGTGAGCAAAGTCAGGATTTACTGTGTCAAAGGCATTCTAAAACTTCTAAAATTACAATGAAATTAAAAGACAATTACAATGAGTACAAATCTCAGCACCATGAGTAATTCCTATTCAAGGCACAAGAAACATATCATTGGGCTAAATTGCATCAAAGATTCCGGAGCAAGAGAGCTGAAGAGAAAATGTACATTTACGTCTGTAACTGATGTGAACAATCTAAAATTCTGAGCTACTTACTCTGGTTGCAACATAAATATGGCAATTCTTAATCCTATCTACTATGACACCAGTTGTGGCTAAGCCACAGAAAAGATTATATTATTTCTACATTTCACTGGTATTTCTCTAATTGTTTTCAGGAATATGTTACACATCTGCTGCTGCAGTTATGTTTGTACTTCATTCAATAGGAAACACTAGATTTCATCACAGAATTTAACCAGGCTGCACTCAGATCTCTTTTACTGTTAGCAGTTATCCCCATTTCTACACTTAGTGCTATTCATAAATTTTTGCAAGAGAATGCAGAGGCCAACCACAAGACCTTCATTATGTTAGACGCTCTACTAACATGTCAAAACAACATATATGTGGAATAGCTTACAATAAAAACAGGGTAGTATCAGATCAGGTAGTAATTTATTTACTCTCCTTAAGTGATTCTTTCATCTCCTCTCCTTGTTAGCAAGCCTACCTGCTGATGCCTTGTGTGAGCAGAATATTGCTCTCTACTCCAGTGATTGTAAAATGTGATCTTTGCAATTCTTTTCTGTCTCCCTTATGCAGCCAGGTGTCCTCTGCCTGGCCCACAAAATGTAATTGTTTTGTGTGTGATCCTCCAGAACATTGCTGTGAGCACCGGCTCAGTCGAGAGAGTGGCGAATGGAGAAAGCACTGCTGGAGATGAGACAGCAGGCAGCAAAGACGAGGAAAACAAAACAGGATTTGTCAAGTTCGGATGGGTAAAGGGTGTGCTGGTGAGAAACTTACCTGCATTTCTAAAAAGATAATTAAAAGAAAAGAAAATCAGTTCTGTTACACTTAAGTCTTTGAAGAATTAAGAGAGGGAGGCAGATTTCAGGGATGTTTGGGGTGAAATGCACTGTATCACCCTTCTGGTTTTAAACATTATTTTCAACCTTGAATTAATGCAGTTATTTTTCTTTAAAACCTAGGTAAGATGCATGCTTAATATCTGGGGTGTGATGCTCTTTATTCGTCTTTCCTGGATTGTAGGTCAAGCAGGAATTGGTATGTATCTTATTCAATATAATTTTCCACAGTGAAAGGGATAAAGAGGATAAACTATACATGATCATGATTAATATATAATCTGAGATGTGCGTTTGCATGTTAAACTAAATAATGTTTTCAAATGCTTGCCAGGGTAAAAAGACATTAATCCTCCAAACTATTGGAATTTTCCAGACTCATAGCCAAATTACTGCTTAGAGGCATAGATCTGTTAACTATGCATATGATCATCACATTTGAATATTTCTGAGCTTTAGTGAAATTTGTATTTAGATCCTGTAACAGATGTAAACTTTATGACTCGGGCCAATATCTAATATGTGCGTACAGAGTTAACCTTTAAGAGTTCACACTTTGCTTATCTGTGAAACCCAAACCTTGTCATCTACATATTATAAACAACACTTCTTCACACTTCTCTGCCAAGATGAAAACAGTACTGGAAGGAAGTCTCATCTCATCAGGATTTTGTTATTTTTAACTACAGAACAGCACTTGATACTAGTGTACTATGAAAGACTAAGTTTTAAAAACTCTGCTACAGTGTTCATATAAATGAAATAAGTACATTTCATTGTGTGCTGTATCTTTGCTTCTTCATTGTGCAATTTAATTAATCCAAATTCCAGATCCCTGGGAGACTGGGCTCCGAGGCCTCCATCCAGTATATTGTAGAGTGTTCCGTGAAACCAGTGAGAGGGAAGTGCTCCCAACACTGCAGGAGCAGCTCAGCAAGGTGCAATATCCCACAGCTGGCTGCTGCAACTCCCTTTTCAGAGCGACTGCTCTGGGGAAGCACAGAAACCTGAGCTGCCCAGGCAGTTCCCTCTGCGATCCCTGATCACACAATTAGACCAATGGGACCCTGATCTTTGACTGGCACCCAGATGTTATAAAAAACAGCAAAGGCAGGATGGCAAGTAGTCCAGCTTGGATGTTCACAGAATGGAAATAGTCAGTAATATTAAGGGATGTCAGCTCTGCTGGACTTCAATAAAAGTTAGTACTCAAAATCAGATTGAATATAACTATCATTTATGTCCTTGTCAATTGATGTGAATTGAAACATTTCCAAAATTTTGCATGAAATCTCATTTCCAATAAAAAAGTAGTAGCTTCAAGTTTCACTTGAGCAAGACTGAGCTTTTAATAAAAAATAACAAATCAACCACTTATTAAGAAAAAAAAAAAATCACAAACTTACAGAGACACAAATAGGAAAAGAAAAAACAGCCCAACAATAAAAGATCTAGAACTAAGCGGAAGAACTTAACTACTTCTGCAGCGCTCCACGCATGGCTCCAGCACTGTGCCTGACAAAAGGGTGCTTTCTGATTTTATGATGCATACCAAATGAGCACATACAGCCCAGGGCACTCATAACTATATGCCTTGCCATGAAAATTCTGCATCTTAATATTGCCAAGACTTTGCTCTAGGGTTTCATGCAAAATTAGTTTTTAAGGGCAGTTTAGTAACTTATTGAGATCATCAAGAAGTATTACTTTGTTTTGAGGTGTGAGAATAGCCATAGGCAAGAGTAATTCATTTTGGAACAACTTACTTAGGAGCCATATGCCTGGTTTTCAATCTAAACTTTAATCAGATTTTAGCATTAATTTGCACCAACATCAGTTACAACTTTTCTGCTTTCAGTTTTAATTTTACCATTTTAACTCATTGGTAAGCAGGCTCTTCTTTCTTACAGTTTATTGCTCTGCTGTTGCTTTTTTAAATTGCATGTGCTATGCAAGGGGGTTACTTTTACTTTTGAAAATGAGATGTCAAATTCCATTTGAATAATTTCTCAATGCATTTTTTGGAATGCCTTATAAGCAATAAGCTTTAAGTCCCCAGCCAAGCTGCTTAAGGAGAACAGTGATAGAAACTCATCATCACCAAGGCTCAGGGATTTCACCAGGTACTGCTCCTAACGTGGAAATTAAATGAGACAGTTAAACCACCATCTGGGCACCATTTACATCCCCATCATTAGAGGGCCAAAGAGAGACAACCCAATTATTTCCATACTCTGATAGGCTGTCTTGGGCAAAAAATAGGATTCTGCAAGGTTCTCTGGCTATCATCAGCTAGGCAAAAAAAAAAAAAAAAAAAAAAAAAAAAAAAAAAAAAAAAAAAAAAAAAAAAAAAAAAAAAAAAAAAAAAAAAAAAAAAAAAAAAAAGGGACAGTATGGTTCTAACAAGATTCCAGGTCCAAAACTAGTCTGCTATTTCCACCTAATATCTTTGGACTCTCTGAAATTTGTATTTGTGCCTGTACATGGAATGGTTAGACAAAGGCAGGGAAAACCAAGTTTATGCTACCTGAAAATCTGGCCCCAAATATTAAAATTTTGTTACGTTATATTATATTACAATGCTATTTTGGTTGAGACACTTCACTTTATGCACTTTTCTTCTTAAATGCTAAAATATTTTTTTTTAATTATCATTAAAGCCTTCCCATGAAAATGCTGCATCAGATTAGCAAAATATATGACCCTATTTATCACATACATGTTAACAATATGAATTGTGAAATGCAATAGGACATCCCTGAAAAGTATCCTTAGGATGTTTACATATACTTAGCAAATAATTTTAAAACTGCTTTGAGAATTATGTGTCCAACTTACTCAATTTAAAAGTTAACAGCTCTTAAAGTCACTTCTCAGACACAAAATTTGCATGGTTGGACAATATCCTTCAAAGCACATCCTGCTCAATAGTAGCTGACCAAAAGAAATGACAATTTGGATTTTTTTATTCAGATGTGCACATAAAACACTTGCATAACTAATTATAGTAAGATAAACATGATTTATTAGAGGCTCAAATCACTTTAAATATCCTACACTATGTTAAATATCATTTATGGCTCACACATTACATTGCTTTATCTTAAAAGATTGTGATAACATGGCTATAATTTAAGCAGCAAAGAACATTAATTCAGGGACTGGATGTCTATAACCATCCAGTATGAACTGAACTGTAAGTCAGATGGTAGAAATCTGATCTGTAAGTCAGATGGTAGAAATACAGCAGATAAATCAATAAGTTTGTAGTGCTTCTAGCTCAATGTCAATTCTAGGATCTAAGTTTCAATTTGGATGAGCCCTGGCCAATAAATACAGCTACAAGCAATGCATATTCTCCACTTCCACACTGAATGCCCATGTACCCTATGGAAAAAAGACAGATACTGCATATGCCTTAGCAAGTTCAGATAAAACCAAGAACAGCTTCCATGCTTGGCACTAAACTGTAATTCTTTAGTTTTTTCTCCTGGTTTTCTCCCTCCTTTCTCATAGATAGAAATGAGAATAAAAGCAGTAAAGTTGAGAGAAAAACATTATATTTTTTCTTTACCCGACTTGAAACAAAAAGGAGATCTGGAACTACAGAGACAAACTCCTCTAGGTAGTGCCATAAATGTAACAGCAACAGCTGCAATTGTACCTTGGGAGGTGCAGAGGTGCAGTTTGTGCATATTTTATTGGGCAGATAGTCTAGCCCTAGAACATGTAATCCAAAGAGGCTGTGGGATCTTTATCCATGGAGGTTTTCAAGAGCCAGCTAGCCAAGGTCATCACTGATTTAATCCTGTGTTGGCAGCAGTTCTGCTATGACCAGGAGGCTGAGCTACAGACCTTCCAAAATCACTTCAAACCAAAGCTTCTATGATTAACTCATACAAAGCACATCCTGCTCATATAGTTTCTAGCAGTTTTACAAAGTTGAAAGAAACCCAGCCATATAGCCAAAGACTGGAAACATTCTCAGATTTCAGTCTTACACTGAAACTCAGTTACCTATAATTAATCACCTGTCACTGATATTCTGATATCTGATTATCATTGTGACATCAGCTAAAAAAAAGAAAGATATTCTAAGTTCTCTATGACTATACATTACAAGTCACTTGTTGAAGTAAATGGCATCTAAAAAGCAGCATTTCTATTTTCAAGTGTTTGTTTTGTGTTAGAGTAAAACTACTTTTTGCAGGGAAAGAGGCAGAGAGCAGAGAGTGGGAAAGCCCAGCATTTGACAGTTTAGCAAGTGAGGATGTAGAAGGCTCCCACTCAGGTCTTGTCCCTCTGCCTGACAGACTCTTTGTCTTCATGCACTGTGAACCTAAACAGTCAGTCTTCCTCTGAGTCAACATTTAATTAACTGATTAATTACAACTGCATTTTTACAAGAGCTCTGGTTCATGTGCCTATATCTTCATTTAAACAGCTAGGATGTGTGATAAAGGTAGATATAACCATCCATGTGAAGGGATGCCTGTTTATTTCCTCCATCCTTTGGAGATCATAAGAAGTCCTGGAGAGGGTACTCCTATCAGAAAGAATCACTGCTTGAAGACTGATGGGAATAATTTACTATCGTGACATGGACTTCATGAAAATGTTCTGCAAGCTGCAAGTGGTCAACAAACCATCTCTTCAGTTTATTGTTCTGATTCTGGCCTGAAAATTCAATTTATAGAAAGAATGATTTGTAGGAAAAATGGAACATGAGTAAAATATTTTATCTTCTTATTACTGACAGGTCTTGGAGTAATCATAATTCTTCTCGCCACGATGGTAACCTCAATTACTGGGTTGTCAACTTCTGCAATAGCAACTAATGGGTTTGTCCGTGGAGGTAAAAATCTTAGGGTTACTAATGTTTTCAAACCCCAGAAGGTATTTATGTATTATTTTCCTATGAGGCAAACCAGTGGGACCATAAACCAAAGGGCACATCTAGTGGAACTGGAAGGTAAAAATTCTAGCCTCCTCTCATCACAATTTCAGGCGTGTTTGAGCTGTCACTTCTAATAAAGCACAGATTTCAGTTCAGTCTGAGAAGTACATTTCAGATGTTCCTGCCAACTGCTGAGCAAGGAATGGCTCTGGCTTTTCATGGAATTCTTTCACCTTTCAGCTGGTCTTTCCTATTCAGAGCATTCCAGGTTGGACATTCTTCAACAAACTGAGGATGAGACATCTCTTCCTGTCATTTTGAAGACTGATGCAGATCAGTGGACATCTTTTTAACACTCCTTAAATTTCAGCCCCTCCTTGGAAGACGGGTAAATAATTTGGCTGTAACACTCCATATCAGGTATTTTGTGAAACAAAGTTTTGGTGCATTTCAGAGCCTTTAAGTTTTAACTGGTCTGGTCTAAGCCCTGTGGAAAATGGAAAGTTCTTACTACATCCCTAAAGCAGAACAGGTACTGGAACACACTTGCATATACTTTCTTTTTCGGATCTTTCAGGTCTTGGAATCATAGTTATTGCTCTGAGTGTAGTAGTAACAACATTGACAGGTATCTCCATGTCTGCCATTTGCACTAATGGAGTAGTAAGAGGAGGTAAGTGAATATGATCTCATGAAAAATACAAAAATCTGCAGATTTGAATTAGAAAAATAAGTGGAATTGAGATAACTGTGTTATAAGCAAACAAGTAATATGTATATTTGCAGTGATTTCTCCCAGTGGATCAACAGCAAATTGAAATGTGCATAGATTAATTGCAAAAGACATTAAAGATTCACTGCATCACTATGATTCAGGGACTTAAACAATGTACCACAGAACATGACCTTTCATGTTAACATTGGGATAGGGCCATGTAAGTTAGAACCTTTTTGGAAGTGAAGTTCTCTCTTCCTTTGTGTTACTATATCGTGCATCATGAAAAATTATAACAAGGTCCACTTTTGCATGCAAATATGCATTAAAAAGATTTCTGGAATAGAAGGGCACACTGAAAAGCCTGAAGGCAGAACCAGTGTAAAACGCATTGCTTTTTTGCAGTGTCCCCTATTAATGCAGGGCAAATATTGATTATATTTGTGAGATTAAAAGCACAGATTTCTCCAGTAACAGTTGTGTCGGGGGAAAAAAAAGCAAAAGCGGAGTTTAGTTGTGCTGAAATAACAATCATTTGTCTGCAGGTGGAGCATACTATCTTATCTCAAGAAGTCTGGGCCCAGAGTTTGGTGGATCTATAGGACTTATCTTTGCATTTGCGAATGCAGTGGCAGTTGCCATGTATGTAGTTGGATTTGCTGAAACAGTTGTAGAACTTCTTAAGGTAAATACAGATGTTTCATGCATACTATGAAATTGGCTCAGTTTTGTTTTGTGTGGCTTTTTTTGGGGGGTGGTGATGGTGGTGATGGTGGTGTTTGTTTTACATAATGCATTTGCATAAGTAGTGATATGTTTTTGTTAAAGCTTGAGGGGGATCTTTAGCAGGGAACAAGCTGGTCTGTCTAAATATGCCACAAAGTGCTTCTTCATTACTTCTACCTTTTGAATATATTTCATACATTTCTTGACAAGAATCTCAAAATCAGAATAGGAACAGACATCCCATTAGCCAAATAACCCCAACTGCAAAAAGCCAGCTGGAACATGGCATTCAAACATTTGGTCTCACAAAGCTGTGAAACTTTGACAGCTTACTGCTTTCTATTTCACCTTGTTACTTGATCCCACCAGTAGAGCAGAGAAAGACTGGTTCACATAACATTTCTAACCACTTTCAGGAGAGTGATACACTGATGGTAGATGAGTCCAATGACATCAGAATCATAGGGACCATCACTGTGGTGTGTCTTCTTGGCATCTCTGTTGCTGGCATGGAATGGGAAGCAAAGGTAAACATTTAAAAAATATAAAAGTAAACAGTATATTAACTTGCTTTACAGCATTAGTGTGTAAGGAATGCTATTCAACAGATGGAATTTTCAGAAGCACTCAGTTTCAGTTTATGCTTAATCTTTCTAAAAGCAATAGCAGTTGAATCATTACATTCAATGAAAGCAAAGTCACTCTAAATGCTTCCTTGAACATAGATTGAAAAGTAAAGAGTAAGTTTGGATTTTGCAGACAGCTTGGTTATATTAATTTTTATAATTCATGGCATCATTTAGAGCCTGGGCTGTGTGCCCCTTTTGTCCTTATTTTTAATGCAGTTTCATAAAAATATGGTGCTATTGCTGTATTCTCTCAAGCTCTACTCAGCAGAAGTGCTCTATTTGTTACCCATTCTTTAATCTCTAATGATTTCTACTATTCCTTCACCTGTAAAAAAGGTCAGAATGCAAATTCAAATGGAAATACTTTAGAGAGTAGAATAGAGCTACTGAAATCAGGTCCAGAAATCAGGTTCAACAGGACCCTTGTTTTTGCTGTGATGGAGACTAGAACAACTTGTAAAAGAGATCAGAAAACAATTTGATATTATAAGCTTTGAAGTGACAACCCCCTCCAACTAAAAAAAAATGTCTCATACTTGATACTAATGCATTAGCTGTCCCATTTTGCCTTTTCTTGTAAGGAAGCTAACCTAAAATTAAATTACAACTCTATATTTCATTTTTCCCTTAGTAAAAAGCATCTGCTGTTGTCATTAGCTGATTCAGCTATCCTGACTCCTGGTATTTTCAAAAACTATAGAAATTAATAACCTTTTATAGGGAACAGATACAGATAAGTTACTATATAGCCATCTCCACAGCAACAGGTAAAAACAACAGGATGATCTCTTTGTTTCTATTAATAGGCTCAAGTTATTCTTCTAATTGTTCTCCTTATTGCCATTGCAAATTTCTTTATTGGGACAGTCATTCCTACCAACACTGAGAAGAAGGCAAGAGGCTTTTTTAATTACCAAGGTAAGCAACCTTGCTCTTGCTATCTATCATAAAATTATGTCTGCATTCTTTTGACTTAATAGTAAGCTAAGGATTCCACTGAAAAATGTCACAAGATCAGAATCTTCTGCCCAAGTTTAAGTGAGTTTGCAAACAAAGGGAATGGATTTCATCTCTAATTTTGAATCTGCCTCTGCTGCTGCAGTTGACAGCACAGTAAGATGCAGCTTGAGTCATTTATACATCAGTAGAGCACAGGAAAACTTTAACTTTACAGAGCTAAGAGCAAGTGCTGCAGTGACACTTCTGTCACTTCAATATGGTCTGTAGCTCTGAGAAGCAGACAAGCACATCCTTCTGGGGAGCAGACTAAGGAAATCAAATTCACTTTGCTTGTGATGAGACAGATTCAAACCCGGTTGTCCAGATGTGAAAGACTGGCTTACTCACCTCCTTCGTTAAGTAATTTTGGAAACAAATCCTGTTTTTATATTTCATTCTCACTCTATTTTCAGCATCAATATTTGCAGAAAACTTTGGACCAGATTTCAGAAGTGGAGAAGGATTTTTTTCAGTGTTTGCCATTTTTTTCCCAGCTGCTACTGGCATTCTTGCAGGAGCCAATATCTCAGGAGATCTGAAAGTATGTATTTCATGAACTTCATAATATTAGCCATAGGGTGGAAAAATAACAAGAAAACCAATCATGAATCAACACTCTATTCAGTTTTAAATCATGTCTTAATTTGGGAAGCAAAGCTCTCTCTTTTAAGTACCTGCTTTATTATTTTAAAACATCAATTCACAAATCCTCTCATAATGCATTATGGGTATTCACAGAAATTACTGTAGCTAGATTTGGGTTTCTATATAATTTCAAAATATGTTTTTCCCAAAAACCATACCTGGGAAGCTCATGTTTGTGCTCACAAGAATCAGTGGAGATGTCATTCTCCATTCTCCTCTTGCAGTGTAGCAGTTATAGGAGATGGAATTTCCAGTATCTAAACATATGGATAAATTAAAGACAGGGATTCAGTTTTGAATGCTCTCAAGTTTTCAGGACAAAAACAAACAAACCAACCAAAAACTCAAACAAACCAACCAAAATAAATAAATTTTTTAAAGTCATCAACAAGACATGGCTCACAGCTTGGTAACTCTACCATGTCAAATGAAGTTATTTGGCCTTATCCTATAAATCCATTGCCTTGCAGACCTTAAAGGATTCAACAATTTCTGTATTGGCACAGCAGTCACAAGTTCACCAGAACCTACCACCCCTGAGAGCCAATTCTCTTTCCCTTCCTCACCCTGAGCTGCATGCTTCAGTTCCTTTGTTTTCAGAGGACTGCTTTTCAAGCCAAGCACAGAGAAAATACGTAGCAACCGAGGCACTGATAGCGTCAGTGACATTCCATTTTTAATTAAAAAAACAAAAACCATTGTACTTCTGCCCAGTGAGACTGCACCAGCCTCACACAACCTCCATCCTTTTATCAAACAAAAATAATTCTTTTGCCATATATGGTGCTCTGTCTGCATGGCAGACTCCCAAAGAAGCAGCACTTCTTTCATCAGCTGTTTGAAACAGTCTGAGCAGACCTAGGGAAGCAGTTCCCCCATTGGATCTCTGCAGTTGTTTCAGTCTCACAATAAGTGGACTTCTGTAATCAAATCCTCCAGGCAGCAGATTCCCCACTGAGCATGTTTAGATGCATTAGACAAGTCTAATTAAATTAACCAGCCTCTCCAGAATCTAAAATACAAGCTAAGGAGTGCTTAACAAGTGTAAAATTTACCAATCAAACTTTCTTTAGAATTTGTTGTAAACACCTTTGTCCATGCTCCTGCAGCCACTACACACTCAAGTTGTGTCCTACTCCAGAGCCTGCTTATAGGGACAGCTTAATAGGGGCTTCCTACTGACTTCAGTGGGGTTGAGCCCCTAAAGTGCTAACAGCATAGTATATATGGGTTTAAAAACATAAAACATGGTTTAAAAAGATAAAACACAAAAATTGTTAAGTTGTAAGAAACTTTAACCTCTGTAATGTTACAGAGTTTAAGATAACCACAAGATTCCACACAAACAATTACCTAAAACACGTACATCAGAACTGCACAGAGTCACCATGGTCTGAGTGCAAAGGCTCTTATGCAGCAAAAGTAACTCCACAATTATTTTCCAGCTCCATAAATCCTTACCTCGTTTAAAAATTATATTAATTACTAATTCAGTTATGCAACTCATGTATACTTCACAATAAACTCCAAATTTGTATTTTGATTTTTTACCCTGCAACAAGAGTCTGTGACTTCAAATGCATTCACCAAACCTTTGATTTAAAAAGAACTATGCTAAATCAACTTAAGAAGAAAATTCATAATAAATTCTTCCTAGCATAAACAAATGCAGACTAAATTGTAAGATTATCTAGCATTAAAAATCCCTTCAAAATGTACAGTACAGATCTTTGAACTCATACTTACAATTGCATTATCAAAGCTGATACTGTTATGAGCCTGTAGAAGAAGTCTGTAAACATTATAACACAGCCTCATTAAATTACCTAAATTCAGTCAATACAGTGAAAGAAAGTAGCTGTTTTGAAGACCCAACTAACAATTACTGCTTGCAAAGCACAGAAGTGCTGGATTCTGTACAGGGTGACTACATCTGTCTTGCCAATTAACCAAAAATGGTCCCATCTTGTCATCCAAAAGGGTCTGATAGTTCAGTAACTATTTACCCACTACATCATCAAACATTAAAATAAAGCCAATTGCAATGTAAAGAGAATTTGGAGCTCAAGAAACACAGACCTCAGGACAATTCTGTTGGTATAAATGTGAGTCTGCTCGTGCAGAACATCCTTCCTATGTGCAGGGTAGGAGTGCTGCACCACAGGAGCTGTGCTGTGCCTGCATGCTGGGACCAGAAATGTTGGCTCAGGTCAGAGTGATAAAAATCTGCTCTCTGGGGTATCTTCCTACCACAGTGGCAGAACTGCCAGCATGCAAATGCAATCAGGCTGCAGCACACCAACTCACAGTGTTTCTTGTGTCACTGCTTTCTTTAAGGACCCACAAAGTGCCATACCCCAGGGAACAATGCTGGCCATTCTGATCACCACAATTGCTTACATTGCTGTTGCAATCTGTGCAGGTAAGTACAGAACCTCTGCTTCAATTGTATAGTTAAGTTTGAAAGCTTGGCATGCAAATGAATTATTAGCCTCACTGCTTTTTCATGCCATGGATTTATTATGTAGAGAGACAGTAGTTTTGATTCTACAGCATGTCAAAACAGTGGTTAAAAAAAAGCAGCAATCAGTAGAAACAAAAGTCCCCATTTGGCAGCTGGACCTTCAGGCAATTTGTATGGTCATTTTTGCATAAGATTCAGTGACAAAGACCACCAGCATATAGTATCCATTAGCATAATAAAGATCAAAGGAACCTCTGATCAAACTGGTGATCTTTTGTTCCTGGTTCACATTGAAATTTCACATTCTTCTGCTTGTCTTCTTACTGAACACTCATGAGAATCACAGGAACAGGGTAAAACACACATTTTGTACATTATAAGTCAAAGACAGAAATCAGTTGCCTTTCTCAAAGGAACTATACAACTACACGTTCTACAGTAGTGGGCTGTGAGGTAACAAAATGGGCATGAGTGAAAGAGGCCTGAACTGAAACCATGAACTGTGTTGGAGAATTACATAGTTAAATTCTCATTACAAGCATACAATAACTCTCTGGTCAAAAAAGAAAAAAAATCCATTTGTATTTAATAGTATTGTAAGAAAGAGCTGAAAGCAACAGACTTGTAAGCAAATACCCCAATATCACAAGAAAGCCCTGCAGAGATCTCCCTTTTCTGGGAAATGACTCTCAAGTCTTCTTAACTTCTGTGGTTTTTGAACTTCATGCATAAGGTAGAATACTTGACTCAAGCCTCAGCTCAGGACATTGTATTATTTGGATCAAATTTTGCCCTGCAATTGAAATTGAAGTAGTCATTCTTCCCTTTCTTTTATAAATTCACTTTACTTTATAAATTGTTTGCTCTGAATACTGGCACTTTTAAAGTGGTAACAGAAAGCCAAAAGACTTCTGAGTTAGTCAATTTATTGTTGATCTCTGTCTGGGTCTCTAATCTTAGAAATATGCTAATCCTTATTAGTTAAGTAGCTGATGATTTTAAAAGTAACAGAAGCAAATATTTGCTTACAGACACCATGAGAAACTCAGTCATAGTACATGAAAGTAAATCCCTGCCCAACATGAAATGTTGCTCTTTGGGATGAGTCTAAGGCAGCAGTTGTACAAAAAGTGTGCAATTTAGGAGTCAAAGAGTGGCAAGAATATTCTTTCAAAGTCACAAGGAAGCAAAATTACAATATATCATTTTTTCCACAGCCTCCTGTGTTGTAAGAGATGCTACCGGGAACGTCAATGATACAATTGTACCTGGAATGAGCTGCAATGGATCATCTGCCTGTGGCCTAGGCTATGATTTTTCCAGATGTGCAAGTCAGCCATGTGATTATGGGCTGATGAATAATTTTCAGGTTTTAGTCAGATAATATGTATTAGCATATAAGCATATATTAGCATGAAAAGCAATACACGAATACTTAAGTACAAAAGTGCAAAACCATTATTTGCAGACAACTACAACAGGACAACCACTTTTATCTAAAAAAGTAAACTATGGGAATGATGAGAGACAAAAATTCCCTGCATTTCACATTTACCTTCACGCTGCCCATCACTAGCCTTCCTAACACTCTGGTAAGGCCTTATCTCCTCTTTTAACTAGTACCATGCAGCAGTATATGTTGTAATATCTTCAAACTGAAAGCCCAGACTTAAGAGAGACCTCAGGAACTCCTGTTAGATGAGGAACTCACCTCACTGCTCTTGACACATGGATGTGATTTTACCTCAGGGGTGCTGTGGTCACAGTTAAAGGGTTGTGTCACAGTATAAAAACCAGAGTTCTGACTTCTTTTAAAAAAGTATCCAAAAATAGTAGAGCAAAAAATCAAGTGGGAAGTAATGGATTCTTTCTCCTAGGCCAGATACTGTCTGCCATTTTTATTCTTCAAAATAAAGCTTAGGCTAAGCATCAAAGTAAAGCAGTTCTTAGCCTGACAACCACAGGTCCCAGATCTCTGTTCAGCCCCTGTGCTTCATGGGCAGTGAGAAGAATTCACCACCCACCTACACATGCTTTTCAACAAGTCATTTGTAGCTTTTAAAAGTCACTCGCTTTTTTCCCAGCTGGCTCTGCTAAATGACAGGGCTGGGTAACCACCTTGAAAGAGATATGCTGTCCCTTTCATGGACTACTTTCCCTTCCTTCCTTGATCATTTACCATCCTTACTCCCACCTCAGTTCAGCTGCCCACACTAAGGGCACCCCTTAAAATTGGGACCTCACGACAGCCAGACAAACTTCCACTTCTTGCATTTACCCCTGCCAGACTAGAGCCATAAAATGGTATGACTGCATCTGACAAATCTTCAGGATTCACCAGTTTCGCTCCTGAATCACTGCCCACACACCACCAATCACACCCATCCATCTTTTAGTTCCCTTCTCTGGTGCTTCTCCACAGCCTTTTCTCTTCAGTAGTCCCTGAGGCCAGCCCAGCACTCCTGGCCTGACACTGACCATCATTACTGTTTGCAGCACTGCAGTTACATCAGGCATTTTCTCTCTTTTTAGCCATATTAAATAGTCAAGGGAAAAAAAAAACCAACCCAAACAAAATAAAGTAGCTCCAACCACATTTCATACATTGGTGCTTTTTCCTGCCATTTCCATTTTCTTGTCTGCTACAAGCTGACTATTTACTCATCAAGTAGAGGCTGTTACAGCAATCAGTTAGTAAAGGCAGTGAGGAAATCTCAGAGTACTCATCTGCCCCAGCAGACAGCTGCATATTTGAATAAAAATTTAGCTTTGCCTCCATTGCTTTTAACTAAACCAGAAATAATAGTACAGTTTGTAGCAGATGAAATTTAAAACCATGAAAAGCAGAAACACATAGAGCATTTGAATGGGTTTGTCATTAAAAACCACATCCAAATGCAAGCCTATTCTTTTTACCTTCATTTTTTTCCTAAAGGTGATGAGCATGGTGTCTGGCTTTGGTCCTCTCATCACAGCTGGCATCTTCTCAGCTACTCTGTCATCAGCTCTAGCATCTCTTGTCAGCGCACCCAAAGTTTTCCAGGTAAAATTAAAGTAACATTTCCTTATACTTGGTTTTACTTCAGAGACAAAGTTGATCAGTGTGGCAAATATAATGTATATTTAGCAAGACCAACACTTTGGCAGGAAGAGGCAGGGAAAACAATCTGTAGAATGTTTTTCAGCAGAAAAAGACAGGTCTTATCATCATACAAGGGTGATAATGTTCCTTTGGTCAGAGCTCAGCTTTGCTGCAGGAGCAGGGGATACTCATGTGCCTGTCATAAATAGCTTCAAGGGTACTTCAGGACCACTTCTGTCTTCTTACAAAAAGCAACCTGTAGGCACAGGAGCAAGAGGAGCCCTCAGGTCCATGAGATTCAGGTGCTGTCAGGTGTGCTCTTAACAGGCTGTCCAGAAGCTGTCTGGGCAGCAGCAACGTGGACAGACTGGGAGCAGAGGGCATGGGAGAGATAAGCTATACAAATTACACCAAGCCACTGACTTATGCTTCAGCTTCTCCCAATTTAGACTCTAATTAGCTATTTAATTACCTTTTTCTTTTAAAACACTGAATAAGCATTAAATGCCTGTGATTCTATTTCCCGTGATACAATAAGATAATAGCACGTTGTCTTACCTTATTTAAATGTTCACATGCCACAAGAGTTGATAAACTAGAAACACTGAGATTTAACTTTTGTTTAGCAAAAGCCTACCATGCTGCCACTCACAGACAGTGACTTCTGGTGCAAGAAAGTGCTGTTAATAGAGTTCTGTGCTGATTTTCTTACCAGGCTCTTTGCAAGGACAACGTCTACAAAGGGCTAGAATTCTTTGCGAAAGGATATGGAAAAAACAACGAGCCTATCAGGGGATATGTCCTCACTTTTGTGATCGCCATGGCATTCATTTTGATTGGTTTGTATAACATTACACAGCTGCTATACTGTCATGTTCTGAAATTATACAAACTGATACTATAATACAATTAGTAGCCATGGTTTGGAAAATTCCCAGTCGGCTAAGCTCTGACATAAGCATGCTCCAAGACCTAGTAGCAATTCCACTGTTCTTAATGAAAGCAAAAAGAAACTATTGGGGATTCCAGCGACATACCACCACCTCACTTTCCAAGATGCAGAGTAGCTGCAATTCCTGTTCACTCTGCTGTAAGAGGGCAGTGCTTAGGACTCTGTCAGATAAGGCAAAGTCACAATCTTTGAAAATGGTTTTCCAGTTTAAACTGCACATAGCTCTGAGATAATTTTGAGATAATTAGGAAGCCTATTCTGCCCAAGCCTTTCTCACAGTCAGCTCCAAAGCAAATCCCAGTTTACCGGCACTGGAGAAAGAAAATCCCAGCTACCACATTTAGGGTTGCAGGGATTATTATCAATTTTTCCAAGATTTGAAATTCAAACTGTCTTACACTAAGTAAATAGGATGTGTAGTAGAGAATTCAGATTCCCACTAAGTGAGAACTGCAAATTTTTTAAATGCATCCATCCTGCCAGTTATGTATTTAAAATTCTGAGCTTTACATCAGATCTACATCATTAAGAGACAGCATGCTGAATCACAGTATCAAGTATAACATTGCATAGCACATAACGCTATTAAAATCAGGATTAACAGACATAATTAATATGAATGAAGGTAGATTAAGGTGGCCTTAAATTAATAAGATAGGAAAATACCCAAGCTCTCCCTAGATGATAAATGCAGACAATGTTCAGATTTAATGCATTAATGAAACAGCTAGCCAACAGTCCAGGAAAGTGGTGCCTCTGTCTAACTTGTGTATGTATCTTGCAGCTGAACTGAATACCATAGCTCCCATCATCTCCAATTTCTTCCTGGCTTCATATGCTTTGATTAATTTCTCCTGCTTTCATGCCTCATATGCAAAATCTCCAGGTGAGTCTGCATTCAGCAGTGATTTAAATACGGGCTTTATAGTCTGATCTCTGGAAGGTTCATACTATATGTCAGAGAAAATTGCAGTATGTGTAAAGCATCTAAGTTATGTGATCTGATGTCTTATTGAATATGATGGCATTCTATTTATCTCCAAAAGATAAAAATAATGCCTCTAAGTCCTTATAATGCCAACAAGTTGTACAGGATGAGGTGCATCCCACTGGAGAAAAAAAAAGTGCTCCTCAGGGTGATATTTTTTCCCCTCATGATTAAAAAACATGTGGGTAAAAGCTTATGCCAACTCTGGCCAATGAAGCAAGCAAGGTACAGTGGGGAGTCATCACTCCCCTCTCCAAATGTACAGCGAAACGCACAGGGAGATTCCCAATCACAGTAACAGTGCTACAAGTGATGCTGCCTGGAGGGGAACATGCAGAGCAAGAGCAGGTCCATCAAACAGCACCAGCACAGCCCTGCAGTGCCTAGAAGCAGAATTGTAAAGCAGAATTGTAAAGCACAATGAAGTCCTGTTCAGAGGTAACTTGAGATCCTCCCTCTACATTTTCAGCAAAGGAACATTCTGGCTGTCAGATTCATGCATTGCCACAGCAGAATGATTCTCACCATCTCATGAATGAAGGGGTGACACCTTCAGGAATAAAGTCAATCAGCTGAACACTAGTTTGGCACACAGGAAAGATGATTTCCTGCTTTATGAATTAATTATTCAATTTAAGGAGCAAGGAATTCACTTTCGATTTCTAGAAACTGCAGTAGCAACAAAAATGCCTGCATCAACTTCCTTCCTATAGATGTACACAGTGCCATTTGTTTAGAGGGCAGAAAAGATGAGCACTTCTGCTAATTACCTGCACAGCTGAATAAATGCAGATCTACTCCGTGCAGCCTTGGCACTGAGTGACAATTACCTCTACAGATTCCATCTGCCTACAGCTGACTACTCTGCCACTTCTTAACGTTTCAGACAGAACTGCAGCCATTTTTCTGTTCTCATTTCCTCCAGTTAATTTCTGCCAATTCACAATGATAAATTATAATAATTGCAAGGCTGCAGGACAGAAAATTTCTTCCCAGCAGGTCCTTCCCATTCTCTCATTATAAAGATGATCCAAGATAGGGTTGCTCAGCCTCTTGTATCTTCTGTGTTTTTCCCCTCTCCAAAGTCTGCTCTGTAGAACACCTGGCAGAGACCTGCAAACCATGAAGGCTCAGTGCTTGCCTCATCATTTTAATTGGTAGCAGGGGTGGAATCAGTACTGCAGCTGAAAAGCAGCAGGAATAATATCTTTTTAAAGTCAATCGCAGATTATTTTCTTTTTCTGCCACAAGGCCAGGCAATTTCCAAGTTTAAGACAGGTGCACTTACAGTATTGGGATAAACACTCCTCTCAGTAAGCGTTCAGCTACCAATAGTAAGTTCTGTATATATGCATCAAAAGTACTCAATCATCAATTATCTGGAGTTACAGGTAATCTCCTTCTAATGTTCTGAAATATTAATTTTGCAAAAATACATATAAACAGAATAGCTATTTAAAGCCAGGCTGAAAAAAGCAGTAGGAAAGATAATAGTAGAATACCTGTAAGACCAGTATTCTATAAATTTAAAAATATAAATATTTTATATAAATATATTTATAAAAATATAAATATATAAATTTAAGCCTACATCAGCTATAACACCTCAAAGTAGCTGTACATAGAGTGCCTAAGAATTTACAGATATCTCTCCCATCCCTTCTGACAGAGCCTGAAACAAACTGCATGTGGGGTTTTATAAAAAAAATCATGGATCATCATTTTATCAATATATTTTATGCTCTTCCAATTTCTTCAATTCTCTTTAACAGGTTGGAGACCTGCATTCAGATATTATAACATGTGGGTGTCACTTTTTGGAGCCCTGCTGTGCTGTGGGGTGATGTTTGTCATCAACTGGTGGGCAGCTCTCATCACTTATGCCATTGAGCTCTTCCTATATATTTATGTAACATATAAGAAGCCAGGTAAGGCCAAACCCCACTATTATTACATGTACATGTTGTGCTGCTAGACTGGATTTTAAAGGACTTAATTTTGCTAACAGAACTAAAAATTATTTTTCTGTGCTATCTTTATTTAGAGGGAAGTCTGAAGGATCCCATTAAACTCCACTTTATCTAATACAAATTAAGGTGATAGTCTGGTGGCTACCTGTTTAACAAGCAGCTCAAGTGTGGTTCAAGGTTTTCTGTAAACATTCCAGCAGACTCGTTTACTCCCACCACATCTTTATGACATTTGGGCTTTTACTTGAGTAGCTCTCATAATTTTTTTCCATCCACACACAAAACCTTACCTGAATTTTGCAGTGCTCTTAAGCTGACTCATGCAGGGTCCTCACTCAAAATGTAAACCTGCTGTCCATTATACAGCAAAAATGCAAGCTGAATTACTTATGAACTGATCATCCTCCAGCACCTCCTTACAATTCCCCCATAAATCAAGACAGATGGGCCCACTTTACTGCTGGAAAAAAACACTTAGTAGCTCAGCAAATCTACAGGAGCTGTCCTCAAAAACCTGTGTGCTGTACAAGCCAGACAGTCTGGCTATTCACATCCAGGACAAAACTAACCCAGGTCCAGATTTAGGTGCTAAACACCTGAATTACTTCTGCAGCAGAAACCATAAAACAAAACCAACAAATAAAAAAGGCAGAGTTCCCAGCAACAGATGTACTTTTATTGGAGTTATCTTGGGACAGCAACACCTGGTCTGAGACTGTGTTATTGTTTCTCTTGCTGTTGTCTGTCCTCCCTATCTGTGCTCTTTCACACCCACTGGGATGGTCTGTGCTTCTGTCCCTGTAAATGTATCATCAGCTGCAGGAAAGCAAACCTATCTCCAGAAAAACATTTCATTATTTCTGCCCTTTCCTTGAACATTGCCAGTGTCCCTGATGCAAAGTAGAACCTTAAAGCTTAGCTAAATTCACTGAAGCTGCTGTACAAAAGCCCTCTGTCTCCTGCTAAGAGAGTGAGTTTTGTTCAGCAGTAATTTACCAGCAACTGGAGGGTTTGGAAAAAACTAATATTCCTGAGCAAAGGTGACTTAACACAGACCTCCACTTAGTTGCACTTAATATTGGCTTTGTTCTTGGTATAACAGGACTTGATCTGCATTCATGTAAATCTCAAAGTGTAGAAAGACATTTTTTATATGTCTGCACTGATCAAACAGTTGCACAATAATGAGAATAGATGTATATGCTAAAATGGGGTTTGGAGCCCCATTTTTGGCCTATACAATAGAACAGAGCAAACAGGCACTAGCAGTGTTTCTTTCTACTGGTTTCATTTGCACCTCCTGAAATTCCACGCCACATACATGACTCAGGGCTGTCCATTTTCTAAATGGGAGAAGGACACAAAGTTAATGTAACAAACAAGAAAATAAATTTTAAGCAGGGGAAGAACATTCCCTACAACATTTAAATAAAGAATGAAACTATTTACTTGCATGGGGTTTTCTGCATCACACAAGCAAAACCAATTCCTTCTATTATGAAGCACAAAGAACAACAGATCTGTATCTATGAAGTACAAGAGAATATACTCTGCTCTTCATAGAGAACACCATTGCTCATTTTTGCAACAGAATGTAGGGAGAAGCCTGTGGTTTAACATGCATTATTTATCTTTATTATATGCAGAGGTAAACTGGGGCTCCTCTACGCAGGCTCTGTACTTTGTTAATGCCTTAGACAGCGCTCTGGCATTAACGACAGTGGAAGACCACGTTAAAAACTTCAGGTAAGATTTCTAGTGAACACTAGAATGGCTTGTCCTGAATCTGTACAAATTATATACAACCTCTTTTTTCCCCATCAGACCCCAGTGCCTAGCATTAACAGGAGCTCCTATGGTCAGGCCTGCTCTGCTGGACATCACCCATGCCTTCACGAAGAACAACGGGCTGTGTATCTGCTGTGAAGTGTACACGGTAAGGGGACTCACCCCAGTCTGCACACCCAGCACTACTGGGGGCTGCAGTTCTCTGTTACACATCCTGCTCTCACCCAGCCCACGGTGTTCCCACTGGTGCTGACTGGCAGCTGTGCACGCCACCAAAAAGATTTGTCATAATTCTTGACACGAAAGCTATCAACTGATATAAAGCCTGCTGGTAAATGCCTCACTGAGATGCATATCAAAATTCATAGTAGGTGAACCAAAAAATGGTTTGGAGGAAAAAAAATATTACAAGGAAAGACTTTAGGCTTAGAAAACAGAAAGCCCCCAAATCACGCAAAACACAAAATTTGAAGAGTTATTGTGATAGAGTCAAATTACCAGGTTCAATTTTCAGCTTTGTCACTGATTTTTAGAGTTGGGGTTTCGCAAGTAATTCAGCTCTCTTTGCAGTGGTTCCTGCAAAACCGTTACAATGCTAATTTTGAGGATAAACATGCTCTTCTGATATCTAGAGAGAGGAGTAAAGCGAATTTCTAGATATAAACACACAGCAAATTATGTATCTTAGAGGATGAAAATCTAGTCTCTCATTAGGACAGAAGAAAAATAGATAGGTTTATAGTGTAGGGAGAAAATGTTAAGTATTACAGTCCCCTTTTAATTTTGAGAGGGAAAAAAACCCAAAACAGCTCGTGGCACTAAATGGAACTGCAGAATCTAGAAAATAATCTGTCCAGCCAAGATAATGTATTCCTCTAGAGCAGTAAAGGAATAATTCGTTTGACACTGCCACATTGCAGAAACAGTGTACAGAAGATCCACACGTGATACTTCCCAAATCAAATGAATCTATAAAAAATGAATGGTCCTAATTCTTCCCTACCATAATTATTGTTAGATTTCCCACTGCATTCATTAAGCATAGATCCAATCACAACAAGATCCTGAAACTATGCAGCTTCCTAAAGTTAAGTTTCAGCAAGTTTTCTGAATTCTTAGGCATGTTTCTCTAATATTAATACTTTCTATGAAGAACTGAGATTTCATTCCTGTCTATACCAAAAAAAAAAAAAACCCAAACACTCTTCTGTTAATATAAACTTTGTAATTGTTTGTTTACCCTCCTTACTTACAATGAAACTTCAAGCTTATTGTTCAAGTTATTATTCCCAGCTCTTCACACATCCAGCATCAAATCCTTCTTAAGTTATATCAATGTTCTGTGACTTGGATATGTACATGGATTTTTTCCCATTAAATTACCAGATGACCACTGAAAGAAAACGGGCAACAAAGGCATTTGCATCTTTAATTACAGAGCATCAACTCTTTTCTCTTATGTCAGTAGACAGGAACTTAACCATGTATACTTAGATCTGCTGAGACTCTTTTACACAGTCAAGCCAGGGAGGGACTTTTATTCACTCTGAAATGCTTTATCATACCTTAGATGTTTTTTTAAGATGTTACAATCCATAGTACTCCTTCCTTCTGTCAGAATCACTGCATTTAAGTAGCATTAACAGCCTCAGCCCTCTCAAACAGAATGTGAATAATGTTTGCAGCACAGATATTTTCAAAGGTCTGAATCTCTGTGGACCCTTTTTGGAAAGTATTTTTCTGACTCTCTCCATTTGCTCCCACAGCAGACTAGGTAACTCCTTCAAAATCACTGTGTGATGTACAATACAAAGCCTTAATAATAATATTTTACTGTATCATGCAGGGACCACGCAAGCTGTGTGTTAAGGAGATGAACAGTGGCATGGAAAAAAAGCAGGCCTGGCTCACAAAGAACAAAAGAAAAGCCTTTTATGCAGCAGTGGCAGCTGACAGCTTCAGAGATGGAGTCAAAAGTCTACTTCAAGTAAGCTTTTTGTTTACAGAACACACAGGAGAGTGTACATCAAAGCATCCCTTTATGTGAGATATCACTATTAGCTTGTGAAGAAGCTCTACATATATATGGGCAATGTTATAGACAGAAGGGGCATTCTAGGAGTCCATGTAAATTATATTACAGATTATTTCATAAAGATCTAATCTATGATACAAGGCAGACTGATTCTCTCCTAAATGAACAAGACACTATTATGAAAAAAAGAGAAGCATCTACAGAGCAACATATGAATGTCTATGCAGCTGACACTTGATACACTTCAAATCAATTATATTGTTTGGTATTATACAGTATATTAAATATCTGAGAATGTTTTGGCAATAAATGAAAACTGAAAATGTGTAATATACATTTTCTGCAAATAGCGAGAAGGTCATTTAAATAAAAGTCTGCAATATTTTTCTATTACTCTAAGAATGCAGGAGATAATTTCCAACAGTCCATTTAAAATGGCCATAATGAAGGCACAGAGACACTGTTTTCATTTTTCCATCTCCTTTCCTCTCTCACATATATGAATATTTAAACATATAGGTACTGAGGCAAAATGTAGAGAAAATTCATATCCTTTGCACAAAATACACTGCTGAAAAGACACCAGTGCCAACTGAGACAGTAGGGAGCCAACTGAAATATTCTGGGTAAGTCACCCACTGGTGTCCTACCAGGGCTCTTTGTACACTTGCTGAATGGACAGTACAATTGAGCATGATGAAATGCTATTAATAAAGATCCCTTTGTTCTGTAAAAGCCTCACAAAGACACTTCATCTTATACATTGTCTCAGTAGGAGATCTTTCTGATGTTTTTGAGAACTGCTACAGTCTGATTATCTCTTTCTTTCCTTACTACTTAAGCACTATTGACAAAGTCAACTACTGGACCCTAAATAATTCTCTTCCAGCAAACAGGATAACCATATCATCATTATCACAACCTAAGGACATTGGCAACAATTGCTGATTTCAACACAAACAGTGCTACTCAAAAAACCCACCAAGGTTCCAAGAGTTTTTACCTATTTTCTGTTTGCTAGTAGTAAAAAGTTGGCAAGTGTAGCAACTTTACAAGCTGGTGTTTTGTGTGTCTCCACCTAAAGGTTCCCAATACACTGAATATTTAGATTTCTATAAACACTAGGTTAGCTGAATCTACATCTGACTTCCCTTACTAGTCCAGATTTTAACATCCAGAACCAGTTTTAAAGGCAAACTAATATCTCGACAAACCACTTCTTTTCCCTGTTTATAAACCACCATTTTATCTACAAAGTATGCTCAGTTGATTTTGAATAATCTTTTGAAAAGAACAAAGCAAATGAAACAGCAACAGTTTCCAAACTGAAGGCAAAAAACATTGTTAGGAGCCTATGGCTTCTCTGTGTATCTGAGATGTTTTAAAAGACTACAGACCCATTTCATCTACTGAGTATTCTGAAGCTGATAAAAGCTTTATGACATTATATTAGAATGAACATACAAACAGTTCTTGAACTCCCTCTTGATTCCAAGTTATTGAACCATTTTAATGAGAGCATGTCAGAAGAAATGCAAATGCATGCTAATTTAGCAAAACTACACTTCTGTCATCTAAAATAATTTATAGTTGGAATGATTTAAAGCTAATCTTTTTGCTTTGTGCATGGGTATGAGCATGAAGGGCATTTATGAAATGCAATCTAGTTGTGTCTCCAGAACATTACTTCAGTTATCTTTTGCCATTACTTTTCATTTACAGTAAAGGCATGTATGTGTACCTCTCTCAAGCAGTGTTTTAATATTGGCAGGCCTCAGGCTTGGGTAGAATGAAACCCAACACCCTGGTAGTCGGATTTAAGAAGGACTGGAGAAGTGCACCTGCCACTCAAGTTGAGAACTATGTGGGCATTATACAGTAAGTCAGCTCAGTACCTCCTTTTTCACTCCTCTTAAACTCGATTAATGTAGCATTTCCATAGAGAATCTGATGTGTAGAAACAATGCAAGGACATCGGTACAAACCTGGGCTCATACATCCTAGCCCTGTGGCTGAAGTTATTGCCCATCAAAAAGGCTCATGGGCTTCTCCACCTTGTAGGATCTGCTTAGCAAACACCTGCCATCATCAGAGCTGATGTGGCTTGACAATGCTAAAGAAGCTGCACTGCTGTCAGCAATGCCTTTGCAGAATTATATTTTCCCATTTTTAGTGGGCAGGAGCTCAGAGAAAAACAACTCTAATGTACATACTAAGGGAATAAGAGAACATCATGGAATTCTTCTTTTAAGCCTAGGAGACAGAGGAAGAGCTTTGCTTCAAATCTCATGTGTGCCTAAGGCTCAGCAGCTCTGTGGGTTGGGATTTAGCTAGGAACAGTCATTTTAGAACAGGGTTCTCATAGATGCTTGCTCAAAATTCACTGTAAAGCTGAAGCAAGTTACAGAGCAACAAAACCCACCTCAGCTGTGTTATTTCCTCAGAGAAGGGAGAAAAAAAATACCCTATAGCAACCTAGTTCCTAAAAAAGTGCTGTCTGAAAGACCCATTTCAGGAATAGCTGATCTGTTCCAATGCCCAATCAAACTTTTTTTAAATGAGGGAAGATAATACTACAAATTTATCTTGGACAATTCCTTCTGCAATTTTACCTGTCTGTCCTCTCTGTGAACACTTTAACTGATGTTTTCAAAATAGCTTTCCTCATCAACATGCACAATGGAAAATCATGTTTACTCTTCTTTTTCTTTCTTTCCAGTGATGCCTTTGATTTTGAGCTCGGTGTAATTATCATCAGAATTAGCCAAGGATTTGATATATCTCAGGTCCTTCAGGTTCAAGGTATGTAGTGACTCGACAGCTGAGTATCTCTGCTGGTTAGATGCACAGCATAAGGAGGACTCTGACACTCCTTATGTCACCATCTGCTTTCTAGAATAGTTCTAGAATAGTTCCCACACTGACAACGTCCACAGTTCATCTTTGTTTGTGCAGTTTAAATCCTGCCTGAAATCCTTCCTGATCACTGGCAGTGCCAGGAGTCCAAGCCCGACACCTTAAGGGGCTTTTCACACCAGAGAACTGAACTGCCAAAGCAGTTCCAGCACAGGCACAGACTAAAGCAATAAAGTCATATTGTGCCACAGCCACCTTGCTGCACGTTTCCTTCCTGCTCTTGGCACACCTTCCTCCATCTGCCTCTGATACCTCTGGGACAGACAGGAAATGGGAAGCTGCACTTTTGGTCCCATTTCTGTGGAACTCTGAGTCCCACAGAGCTCCCACCCACACAAAAATCTGAAATCCGCAGTAAACACCCGTTCTCCCTCCCCTTTCCTTGCTCATTCTTCCTTAGGTTAGCAGTGCGTATCTCAGGGGGAGAGGGCAACCCTTCTGCCATACCGCCACCATTTCGGGAGAGAAGTCTTTGGGTGGCAAAGGGAAGGAGCTCCCGGATCTCCCGACTCCCTGTATCTCCCGACTCCCCGATCTCCCGACTCCCTGTATCTCCCGACTCCCTGTATCTCCCGACTCCCGTATCTCCCGACTCCCGGATCTCCCGACTCCCCGGATCTCCCGACTCCCCGATCTCCCGACTCCCCGTATCTCCCGACTCCCCGGATCTCCCGACTCCCCGATCTCCCGACTCCCTGTATCTCCCGACTCCCGGATCTCCCGACTCCCCGGATCTCCCGACTCCCCGATCTCCCGACTCCCGGATCTCCCGACTCCCCGATCTCCCGACTCCCCGATCTCCCGACTCCCGGACCCCCCGCAGCACGGCTCTCCCGCCGGCCCGGTTGGCCCGGAGCAGCCGGGCCGGGCCCGCGGCTCTCTGCCGCCGCCCGCTGGCCGCCCGCCGCCACGGCCGCTCAGCGCCCCGCGGAGCGGGAAGGGGCCGGAGACTCCTTCGAGTGACGGGGTAGATGAGCACTCAGCACCGGTAGCTTGATGTGCTCCGAGACCCACGGGGCAAAACTACAGGCACTCAGAAAAGATTCCAAAATAATCAGCCTTTTCTTCACCCCCTGGTGATTTCTGAGAGGTATCTGCCCGTCTCTGAGTGATGCGAGTCAGAAACTGAGTGCTCAAAATACACACTCATTGAACACCTGTAAAAATGCAGTGGAAAACAACTCTGCGATCTTACAAATCAGAAAATGTTCTCCAAGTGTTATGACACAAGGAGTCAGAAAGAATTAAGGGGGGAGCCTCAAATACAAGAAAATGCTTTGAAGCAGATACAGAGTCATTGTAGTGGAAAACAATTATCATTGTGTTCTCTTATACTTGGTACAGCATTCTGTTCCATAGAATAACTGAAATTTTAGTTTTGAGCAACCATTAAGCTTGTAGCTGTCACCATGTCTAATAATCACAAGTATATGTCATTGGTTAAAAAGTAAAAGAAAGTATAATCTTTCTGTTGGCAACAGAGAGTGCTAACAGAGCTAATAGCATCTAGCTAGCAAGGGTTTATTCTACTTTTTTAACACGTCTTAAATGAACTTACCTCATATTTAGCTAATGTATTACTCAAACAGAAGATCTCCTTATGAAAAAACTTTTCTGCAGGAAAATGCCTGGATCATATTAATTACTGCCTCACCATAATATATTCCACAATAACACATGGTACCTTTTTCTCAACAAAAGTCTAATATTGCTAAGATTAAATTGTTCTTGTGTATTACTAAGTTTACAGAGTTAACTAGCTAAATCTTACATCTTTACAACTAATGCTTTAAAAAACCATGAAAAATACTTCTTCATCAAGAATGATTGTATATTCATAATCCTTATGTATTTCTGAGATTTTCAAAGTACAAACCACGAGACTTTGTTCTAAGAAAGGAGACCCACAAGCTAGAACTAAATACCTCCATTTCCTGAGTGTAGGAAAACAGCTTTCCTAATGTCTTTTCAAATTCTTGGCTAAAGAAACCAACTAAGCATCCACAAACATAATCCAATAAATAATATCTCCTGCAACTATAAAATGTCATAACAATGAATTTGATTTAGAAGAGACAACCTGAGAGCATCTGGCACACCACAGTGTTGTAGGCACAGGCACCCCAATCTAGGGCTTCCAGAGGTGATCTCAGCTTCCTTCTCCCTACTGGTTTGCAAAAAAAAAAAAATCATTTAAAAAGAAATTTTCATACCAGGAGCTTTACATTGTCTACAAAGTACCACAACACCAATTACAGCATCACCATTAGCTCAGTAAGGGATTAAATTTAAAAGACAAGCAATGTGTTACCAGTTCTCTTACTTTTTCTGATATACAGAGGAATTAGAGAAACTGGAGCAGGAGAGATTGGCACTCGAAGCCACCATTAAAGAAAATGATTTTGAAGAAGGAAAAAGGGGCATCTGTGGATTCTTCAAAAAAGCCAGCACATTGAATATCTCAAAACACGAAACAAAGAAGGGTAAGTTCCAAAATGACAACTTATCCCCAACCCTTCAATGCATCACACTTTTATCAATATGCAAACTGGAATTTACTCCAAGCCAAAAACTCCTGAGCCACACAGAAGCCCCTGGAACAGCACCTCCCTTGTGCAAACCATGGTGGCCACAGCCCTGTAATGCAGCACAGTGACATCCTCTGCTCACAGGACATTCTGTCTGCAGCACAACCATCTCCCCTCACTTGCTAGGCAAACTTCTCAGCTCAGCTTATGTTCACTTCTACCTGACAAAAACAGAACTTGGTTATTAAAGTTTGAGGAATTCAGATCAAGTTGATTCAGGGGTTTTGGGATTGGTTTTGTCTTTTTAATAGGGTGTTTTAAGCTTTAAAACAGAGGCCTTTTTTCCCCCTCTCTAAAGAAAATAAGAACATATGCATAATATGCACAGAACAAGCATTCTTACTTTACTTAACATACACACACACAAATTCAGTACACAGCTGAAAAACAGGTAAAAATAGCACAACTACTCTATAGTCTTAGCATAATTTCATAAAAATGCACAAGTGAAGGTGGTAAAAGTACTGAAAGTATATATACAGCATACTGTCAAATAACTAACACATTAATGTGTAGGTGATGAAGTCAATATTACATTTCAGATTTAGTGAAATGATACAGACCCAATTTAAGGTCTCATTTCACAACTGCTAGGCTGTAATGATAATGACCCACCTGAAGCCATGCTTGTACACAAACATGTATTTTGAGAGTTTTCACCTGCAGAGACAATTACAACTGGCTGTGCATGCAACTCCCGCAGGTGCCAGGAGAATCTACAGACTGGGAACATAAAATGCCATTATTCTTCAGCTGGCAGGCTTCAGTTCATTTTGTTTCAGTAGAATATGTTTTTATGAAAAGTGCACCAAGACTGTGTACCCCTGTTTTGACTTCCCTTTTCAATTTAGTTGAGAAATGCATAAAGTAAATATATATTGCACATTTTGGCTCTCTGTATTAGCTAGATTATGTTAATAAATAGCCCCACCTCTCTGTTTTGTTTTTATGTTCATACTCCCTAGAGTTGTTCAATCTCCCAGTAGAGATGCTAGAACTGTAGAGGAAAGCCAATAACTGCTTTGGAACTATCCTGTACACACTCCACAAACACAGGAAAACCAAACAAGGCATTTTCAGAACCTATATCAGAGTAAAACCTCTAAAGAAGCCTGTTTGCTCCACTTAGAATACTGCTCTGACACCACCTCTTTGAAATCATTGAAAGAGAAGCAGAAATAAAGCCAGAGGCCTCCAAAGGTGGAATGAGAGAAGTTATTCTTAGTAGAGAGTCAAGACTGTATCTTTTAAAGCCAGCCAGGCAAACAGCAAGAACCAAAATTTATTTCCAATTACCAGGGACCATGTCAGCATAGGGAAACAGCCATATGTGCTTGTGTTTTCTAACTTGCAGCTTCACCTATGCTACCCCTGCACCCCATCAGCTCATTTCATCCACTCTGACTGTACCTTTCACGGAGCTCTGTATTTTACAAAACAGCTGAGCTTGTAAAGGATGCAAAATGACACATTTACTTCTAAAATCTATCAGATATTTCCCAGTTGCTTTTTAAGGCCCCAGTGAATTTTACATTTACTAAAAAGAGAGAGAACAAATAATCAAGTAACCTTTTTCAAAACGTTATAGTCTAGTGACAATGTCTTACACAAGCATCGGTTTGTGTGTATGAGAAAATTAGAAGTCCAAAGCATCTACTCTGTACCTTCTTTTTCAGATTTAAAGGGTAGAAATTATTTCAGAAACAGTTCATTTTCCAGAAGCTTTCCCTCCATTTGGCTCCCTAAAGCTACTTATTGCCTCACTTATCAGACATCCTTCCACATTTTTTTCTTTCTCATTACAGAGAGCACCATTAACACCATGCAGTCAATGCACGTGGGTGAATTCAATCAGAGGCTGCTAGAAGCCAGCACTCAATTTAAGAAGAAGCAAGGAAAAGGTACAATTGACATTTGGTGGCTGTTCGATGATGGAGGTAAGGAATTTGAGTAAGAATCATAGGGAGAGAGAGTTCTCTGTTACCAAATATAAAAACAGACTTGAAGTTGCATAAAACTGATTTTATTAAGTTTACATACTCAACTTTAGGTCAGCCTTAAATGTTTTAAAATTAACTTACATCCAATACTGCTGAAGTGAAAGATGGAATTTTTACCATACAATGCCCTCATTTGATATTCTTCCAATTTTCTGTGTTGTTTCAGGTCTAACAATCCTAATTCCTTACATTCTAACTATCAGGAAGAAGTGGAAGAATTGTAAATTAAGGATCTTCACTGGAGGAAAAGTCAACAGGATTGAAGAAGAAAAACTAGTGTAAATATAACTTTATTTGTCTCACTTGTTTAAAGAATTAGAATTGATGCTGAATATAATGCATATACAGCAGGAAGGTGGGAAATTTTCACCACAACTGGTTTGTGGTACTGTGGGCAGCATGAAAAAAAAAAGTACTTGATTGAAAGGTGTTAAGCTTATGGCATACCCTTAAGGTTCTGCAAATGGTAATTACCAAAGGAAACTCACATCCAGCACTTTTTCCCATTAATAGCTCATATTCCCTTCTCTGAGAAGTGCAGTCTGCCCTCTGTAATGAGAATATAATTACTTTTATGGGATTCACATGAGATAGTCCAGGTAACAGGAAGTAAAATTGCACATGAAGCTCTCATATGCAAATAGCATGGACAGATAACTCACATAAATGTGATTAACTGTGGTAAAATATAAAGAAGTTAAAGTGCAAGTTAATCAACTTTAAGGTCAAGTTGATTTTACTCAGTGTTTTAAAGTCTAGATTTCATAATCATCATTTGTCTTTGAGCAAATGAAAGGTACAAATACAAATTTATTTTTATCACCACTGGAAGTAGGACCTTTCCTTCCTAAGCACTTTACACATTACAGGCACAGCCACTTCAGCACCAGCGGAAGCAGCTCAGTTTGGGATGAAAGTTAGTGACTTCTTAACAAAGAGCAGAAGCACCATGTAGAAAATTAAAAACAACATCTCCAGCCAAAACTCCAGGGGCAAACAAGTGAGAGAGGTGCAAAGACAGGGGTTAGAATCACCAGCTTCACTAGGATTACAACACAGTGCCTTGGAAAGGCAGCTGCCACAGGATGCTCCCTTAAAGAAAAGGGAATGCATAGAGCAAAGTTCACTGTGGTTCCATCCATTTTAAACATGTACCTCTGCAGAAGAGATTCACAAGTGTTTGTACAAACTATCCTTATAATTAGGTAAAAAAAGCCCTAGAGCTGCTCAAGGACCTGCTGGGAAGTGTTCTCTGTCCCTTATCCAGAGTCTGCCCAGTTTTGGCTGCTCAGGATTGCAAACAGGCTCCTGAACCTGAACTCTCTAGTCACCTGATTTTGCTGCAAGTAGGAAATTTTGAAAATGGGATTTGTCAAAACACAAAGTTTCCACAGAGGCAGTTCTGACACCTGCAGACACTGCTTATCCCACACAGGCCCAAGTAAACAGCATGGTTAGGACAGCTGAGAAGGACGCAGCTTGTCCCCAAGAAAGCTTTATGTGTCTGTATTGCTACCTAAACACCAGCCTTCTTCAAAACATGGCCTACATGTAAAAGCCTTCAAAGAGACAAATCTGGACTGGGTGATTGCTCCATTCCCTAGGCAGATCTAATACAAAATCATCCAAGTACAATTTCAGCCATGTATTTTGAATTCAGAAGTCAAATTTTTACTAGCATGTAATTCCCCAAATATTAAAACCTTTTCACAGAAGTTGAGATTTTACTCTTTATCATGTTCAAAACAGGGACTGCCACCAGGGACATCAAGATTTATAAAAGCTGTATGCTCTTTTTATATAAATACATTAAAAAGAAAGTGTAAACTCTCAGGTCATAAACAAATATGTGTTTGTACTGTGGTTTGCTCCGAGGAAATCTCTGACCTTTTCAAAATCCAAAGCTTACATGCCAAAAATAGAAACAAAAAAAGTCAAAAAGGAGGTGGGAGAAGGAGGTGTGGATAAGAACCACAAGATCCCAACCATGAGTTTAAACAAGGGCAAAACTGACCTAGTTAAACCTCTCTATCCTCAGCACAAACACACAAAAAACTATCAACTATTCCTTCTGCCAAGTGGGGCAGAAAAGAAAACTATTTTTTAATGAACATGTGTAAAGACAACATGTGAGTGGATCAACATAAATTCATAAATGAAAAAGATGATTCTTTAAGTATTGGACTTTCTGGACCAAATTTTCACCAACACATGCACTACCAGTATTGTAAAACTCCATCCACAACATTCTGACAGTAACAGAGTAACAGAAGCCTTCTGTAAATCTTAGAGAATTCTGACCTACTGTATATTGACTATTCTTCCTTTATAACTCAAGCCTTTGGGAATACTTTGAGTATCATTATTTTCCCAAAATGTAAACATCCTCTGTCTGCTATTAATTTCTTTCTATTTTGTGATTTTTCATCAATCATCAATTAAATGAATTATGCTACAGCAATCACATTAATCCAGTTCTGTAACTAGAAATTGAAACACTAAAGCATTTAAAGTAATTTGTCATATAGTTAGATAAGATATAAAATGCAGCTGTCTAACTCATTTACAAGTGTTCTTTGATATAAGGCACTCCAAAGTACAGTGATAAAACATTCTCTCTTTTGTTTTCAGGATGGCTTCACTCCTAAGCAAATTCAGAATAAAATTTGCTGATATTAATATCATTTGTGATATCAATATAAAGCCCAACAAAGAGAGGTAAGAAGCATTACCAAAATCCACTATTTAGTAGCCAGCCTTTATCTAGAGTTTATTTCTTTCATGTTGAAAATTAAAAGAAAAAAAAACAACAAAGCACAATACAGAAAATAACACTGACACTTCATGGTTATAATTTTCTAAGTACCAACAGCAGGAAAAATAAAAGAACTTTTAACAAGCACAGCTTAAAGGGTCAAAACCATGTGTAGTATTTTTCTTTATGTTATAAAGACTAATTAGAGACCATACTTATAAGCCACTAAATTTAACAGACATTTTGTGATGACTTCTCGTATTTATTTAGGCTGCAATAGACTCCAGTCAGTCACAATTCTCCTGTAAATTTACCATAACTGTCAACTCAGTCTTCTGGGTTTTACAATAAATTCACAACATTTTTCTGGTCAAACACAAGCATACTTCCTCTCTCCTATGAGGTCAATCGTATAATGTTCCCCTATCATTCAGATATAATGAAGGCTTAATAGTTTTAAAAATTAACTTATCGACATAAGTAATGCTCTTAAACAGAGGTTAGGAAGTTGGTAAAACAATGCTCAAAAAGCTCCACCTCCAACTGTGTTAGTTAAATTTAAAAAACAACCCAAAACTTAAAGTCCTTGTTTTTGAAAACATATCTACATAGATATTGTCTATTTGTTCTGCTTATGTAGAAAAAAGTATACAGCAGGCTGTTCAGGTGATAACTGAATCCTAAATTCAATTCACAGTATTGTTTAATCTTAAAATTCCATAAATGTGCCCACCTTACCATACTCTCTGCCATCCCACTCCTTACTCCAACCAAAGCCTTCCCACTGGGTTCAAGTGCAATCCCAGATTAGGCTCTTCATCATTCTCTGTCCTGTTCCTACACACACATAGAACTTTGCAGAAACAATATAGGGTTCACCAGAGTTTCTATGGACCATTGGAGATTTGGACTGAAGAAATGCAGATAAAGAATATAAAGGTTTTCTAACTAGATACCTAAAGTCTCCTTTTAGTGTCCTCTTGATCTCTCAGGTAAAATCTTTTAATCATATAAAGAACTGTGCAATACATAGCTTGTTTTCCCTCTAGTACAATGCAGTGATTTTACATAAGGTATCAAAAAGAATTAATATCTGGCACTAACATAAAAAAACACACGTTTGCTGCATCAGCACTATCTGAACTGAACAAATCAGTTATACGCCAGACACTTCCTAGACAGACCCACTGGATCTCTCTTCCAGCTGGCACCCCATCTATTTCATTAATAATAAGAGGATTATCACTATTTTACATACTGAAAGAGACAATAAGGATGTTGACAAACTCTGACAACTTAGCAACAGCAACTCTAAATGCTGCATGTCACAGCCTTTAACCCATCTTTTGGCTTCCTGGCCATACAGCCAAGGCTAGCCTGTGCCCAGTCTGCCACAATGAGGCCCATCAGCACCAAGTGCTCAGGGAAATACACTCACATCCACACAAAAGAAACTCCCTGAGGTCTCTGTGGCATACTAGAAATTTTCAACAATGGGCAAGCAAGGAAGTATTGAAGGACAATAAGGTTCTCCAGATGAAAACTTTCAAAAGTTCAAGAAACAACTTGAAATTTAGAGAAAATCTGAACGCAATTCTGAGTCCACATATAGCAAAAAAACCCTACAATGTTTCCTTCTCCCCTTGTCACAGGAATTTGTATCACCTGTTTATCCATTGCATTAAAACCATCAGTAAAACCATTTCAGTGAGGTGATTGGTCCACTTAGTGCTAAAATAATAAACAAGGAGACTCATATTCATTGTTAATATTAGTAACCAATATACTGCAGTTTGCAATTACTGTAAAACCCATTTCAGTATTTTTGCTAGAACCAGGATAACACAGAAAATTCTCTGCTAAATGCAGTGTTTAATTATCCTTATATAACCTTTTAATTCTTCTCAAATAACCCAAACATACAGAAGTGGCACAGATATAACTTGGGGCACAATATAGCAAAGAATAGTTAAAGATTTTGCATGTTTTTCAGCTATAATTATTATCAGTGAGGCCCGTCATACACAGTGACTGTGAAATAAGTTTGTGAGTTCATACCCTGCAGCAAGGCCTCCTTTGTAATTCCTGTTTCAGCTGGAAATTCTTTGAAGAGATGATTGAACCATATCGCCTGCACGAAAGCTGCAAAGATATCACAACTGCTGAGAAATTAAAGCGAGAGGCTCCATGGAAAATTACAGATGCAGAGCTGGAAGCATTCAAGGAGAAGGTAAAGCCTTGCCTACCTACCTCTTTACATATGCACCTTTTCTTACCCTCCAGATGTTTGAAGAGATTAGTAAGAAAAAGTGAAATACCAGATATGGCATTAGAAACATGATATGTACAAACCTGTATTTGATATTTACAGATTGGATTTATATTGTAAACACTGCAGAGGTGTGTTATGATTGCATTATTGAGCTCTCTCAGACTTTGGCATGCTTACACAGTATTTTCTAGGCTGATGAGAAGCTCTGCCCACATCAAAGCCAGCCAGATGAAAACCACCTCTGAACCAGAAGCCACAGTTACTGCACTGAGCCTGAGATAATTGAGTCTGCTGAGGTTTATTAAATGGCTCCACTGTTTTGGAGCTTGACTCAAAGAGTGCAGTTCCAAACATTCACCACTTTGGGCAATTTAGAACTGCGTCCAGACACTTCAACTAAACTAGAAATTTCTCCAAAGGCAGGGTTGAGCATGAATTCTTACCTTATTGGCAGGGTGAAGACTAAACCAGTCTACCATGCAGGAGCTCTCCTGCAGTTCAGAGGAAGTTCAAGGCTGATGCTGGCTGATCCACTGGGTCAATTACAACCCAGTCTGCTCTTTATATTTGTTGGAAAAATACATTTTTCCCAATGAACCACCAGCTTCATCAGGCCAGTGACAAAAGGATGCAAACTCTTTCACCCTTGAGACAAGTTCTCCTCTAACTCACAGAGAATTAATCTAGCAATTTTAGTTATGGTTCCTGTGGAATTACCCTGAGTACACTGGGAGTTTAATTATCTCCACTTTATGGTCCTGGTAACTTCCTCAACAGAGCAAGGATGAGCTCAGAGCTGCCAGAAGTCACAGCCTGACATATTAACATAAGCAGAAATCAATAATGATTTAAGATCACACAAGACTACTGACTGCAGCAGCTGGGAAGCAGACTGACTGCTCACTGTGCTACCCGCATCATGGAGCTGATAATCAGCAGAAGGTTATATAGTCAGCTATGGGCAGAAATCCTTAGAATTAGTCTCACCTTAAATTACCAAAAAGTGAGACTCGGAGCTCTTAAAACACCTCAGTATAAAAGACAACAGGAATATAATCAGAGACAATTGCATGCAGAACTAGTGAGGAAACAACAGAAAAAAAATGTGATTAAACTTGGTCTGGTCTAGGTCACTAATTAAGGAACTGGAAAAATTCCTCAAAAGTTGAAGAGAAACAGCAATATGAAAATGCCAAATTACTCTGTAAAACAAGGACAACAAAAAGTTTAGCTTACACATCTGGAAAGACATGCTCCTTACCTTCAGAAGTAGGGCAGTTCTGGGAATTTACAGAGCACATTAGAACACATTTACAATTCAACAGATAAAAACCTGTCAGCACAAGCAAAGGGTGATGTTATAGGATGATTCTCATGAGGTTACAGCTGGCTACATTATGAGGGTTCTTACCTACATAACAAGAACAGTGACTTCTGTAAAGGAAAATTTAAGATCTGAATGGAGAAAAATCTTTTTACTTTCTCCAGGAAAAGAGAAAATAATTTACAAAAATCAGTTGAGATACATCTATCTTAATAAACCTGCCCTGGTCTCTTGTTCCCTGTGACTTGTGGTTAAGCCATAAAAATATCGAGGGCTTGAGCTCAATCATAAAGTAAGTTCAGTACAAAAATAATCCCTATCTCCAGGAAACCTTACATGGGGTGAACATTAGAGAGGCCCTAAAATAACTACACCAATCAAAAAGTGTGGCATAGCCTCATATTTTGCCATGGCTGAGACTCTGGACCTGGCTTCCAGTGCTGCCAAAGCAACAGCAGAAAATCTTGCAGGCAAGGGGGAGTGTGGAAGTCCATAAGGCACCAGAGCTGAGGATCACTGACCTAACTGGTATTTTTCTTTTCCTGTTGTGTTTTAATCAGAGTTATCGCCAAGTCCGTCTGAATGAACTCTTACAAGAGCACTCGAGAGCAGCCAACCTCATTGTCCTGTGAGTTGCAAGATTTTTGATTCTAAGAATAATGTGTAATGGGATTCTGAACTGGAGCTACAGAAACCCTTGTGGTAATTCACTGAGCACAAAGTAATCCTTTAAGTACCTTCTGGAGGACTTGCATCTGGACTGATGCTTCTCTGTGATTGCACTGAGTATGAATCTTCCTTGTATAAAGGAAAAGAGGCCACCAATAAATTACCAAAAAAGGCCCTTTCCAGAATCTATTTTTATTTACAGACACATTTTTTTATACACAGCTTCAATAAATTAGCTTGCACCTGTGATGCACAGATAAAACTCTACAGTTCTATCAATTCAGTCTCAAAAACAGGGATGGTCATATAGTGCTTACCACAAATTGACCCAAATTTTAAAACTCCCATCTCACAGCATCTGCAGATCAGAAAATAGGTTGATGGACAGCAAAATTGTTCATGTGTTGGCTTTTTATCCTTTTTAAACAATCATACTATGTGTGAGTTTTATGACACCAAAAATATTCTTTACCAGTTTGAGGTTACAATCAAAAGCAGTTCATACCCAGTACAATCACGTGAGCAAGGGTTTGCAAATTAAGGCCTAATGATATGAAAACAATCTTGTAATTATATCAGAGTTTTATATGAACAGTAATGTTTTCTGCTACCCTGCCTTCATAATGATAATTATATTTTTCCCTCTGCCCAAACAGGAGCCTCCCTGTGGCAAGAAAAGGAGCAGTGTCTGATTACCTGTACATGGCTTGGCTAGAAATTCTCTCCAAGAACCTTCCTCCAGTCTTAATGGTCAGAGGCAACCACAAAAATGTACTGACTTTCTATTCTTAGAAAAACATCAGTGCCTGGAACATGCCTTGCTTGGTTCCAATAGCTATGTTTTTAATGGCAATGGTTCATCAAAGACACATTCATTTAATGCCAATCTAAATTTTTAATAATTGACAGATTTTTTTCAAAAATCCAAAGCAAAGAATTAGAAAATAAAAATGTAAATGGTCCCTTCCAGTGTTAAACTCCAGTACAGGCAAAAGAAGGAAAATCTACCCATATGTCATATGAGACAGCAAATATTTTGAGCACAAAGTAAGAAATTCTTCTGATTTATAAAGTATTAAAAGGTTTTTGATATTTATCCTAGAAAGCAAAAAATAACTGTGATAAAGCAGAAAGGATTAAATCTCTAAATATTTTTTTCAAACTGTACTATCATAGTTGCTAATGGGCACACAGTAGGATTAAAATGAAATGCACCAACTTGTGAGACAAAAACCTGTATGGCATCCATCAGGTGTAACTCATGAATTAACAGAATGCAAGTAGAATACATGCTATGATTTTTTATTGTAATATTACCAAATTAAGGCCTATGCCTACAGCAGATGCTTTTACCTAAAATGTTCTGCTAATTTAAATTCATTCAAACATTTCTAATTTATTCACAAAAAAAAGATATATAAAAATATGGACTTTATTACAAGACTTGATAATGCATTTTCAAGCTCTGACATGCAATGGAATGCGTGATTTAAATAATTAAATGTTGTAAGCAAATTTCACAAAAAATTAGTAAAACACTAAATATTCTGACAATTTTTGCTATGAATGTTAGGGTTAATACAATCTGACATTATACATTGGGAAAATAAGTACAGTGATTTATGTGATTAGAAAACAAAAAACTCATTAGCTGAGTTGAATGCTTTACTTTTGATTTATAGAAAAAGATTTCTCTCTTTTTTGACTTCCTAAATAATATTAATTATACACTAACTTAAAATAAAGGCAATTCATTAAGTTGTGTAATTTTTCTATTTTCTACTCTGCAATGTTATGGTACTTTATAATTTCAGCTGTCAAGAAAAACAGCTTCTCTTTTTAATGGGTAAAGCTATATCCTATGTGTAAGCACTATTTAAATTAAAGACCATCAAGGAACATTTATTTATTTTCTGTAGTCCTGCAACTCCTTTGCAGAGATCAACCAACATGAAAGCCTCATGAAAGCCAGGGAACCCTGAATTTCACCAAATGTATATTTTAAAGCAAGCCTCAGCTTCCATCTTGATTGAATTATTAGAATTTAACTTGTAGTGGGTTTAGCACTTTGTCTCCAAAAATGACAAATATTTAATATTCATATTTCTTCTAAGTTCAACAGTAGCAATTCAGCAGAACATGGTAATGTAGCCCAGTAATCCATGCTTCATTTTCTCTACTAAAGGCAGGATATTAAATATTGATATTTTCTCATAATGTTCTTCCTTTGCTTCTCACACATTTAGAACCAGGCTGAAGGATCATTTTACAATCTAACTGCATTACACAGAAGTTTCCTCCATCTACCAAACTTCCTGCACAACCCTGAGCAAACCAAAGCTCACATTCTGCACCTGCAAAACAAGATTATTTTTATCCTTCACAGTGATGTCAGCAGTGATACAGGAGCTTGCTGCATGCTGCCAGGTCCTTGCAGCTCCTTGTAGAATTGTAATAGTCACCATGCTCTCTGCCTCAGATACAACCTCAGTGACACCCAGCCAAAGCCAAGCCTTTAGGGAGGCTCCACTTAGGCTTTGTGGGTTTCTTATCACAACCTACACAAGGACCTGGAGGAATTCTAGCCCTTTAACTATGTATATGACTGGGGATTGTTTCTATTTTAATCATCAAGGTAGTAACTAAATTAATTACATGTCTGACATCCCTAGGAAAAAATACAGCTCTAATGCTGTCTAACACATTTTTAGATTACATCAACTACCAGTTCTACAAGTTTATATAGTTTAGGTTGGATTTGGTCAGTCACAAAAAAAGCTAGCATGGGTAAAGTGACCAGGGACATTTAAGTGTGAAAATACCATTGCTATGAAGCGAAAATAAAGAATATGTTGAATTTTGTTCAAAAGCCTAGGCATCCTGCACAGCTAAGTTTGTGCCTAAGGGCTGTTAAAATGATCCACTACTGTTCCTCTCATCAGTGAATCTTACCTTTCCCTCCTAATGTTAGTGGAGTTCCAACAGGTATCACAGAAGGCATTTCATCATAGTTGAGAGACTACACTTTCCTTACATCTTTTTACAATCACTGGCAAGTTGCCCATCTTGATCACATACCCCTAAAGCACAGTCCAGATTATGCTGTCCAGAACAGTATTCTTCCAATGTGTTTTTCACTAGATCACAACAGAGATTCTTTTTGAGGGGATTGTTTCTTTATTTTATTTTTAAATCAGCTACCCAACAGTGCAAGTAGAAGAGCTACCTAACCAAAAAGGCATTGCATTGTGAGGATTAACAACTGTAACTACACTGCAAAAACAAGTTGTTATCCTACTTCACACTTGAAGGAGTTTCCACTCAATCTTCATCATCACAAAGTACAGAGCTCCAGCCACCAGCACAGGAAATTTCATCAGTCTTAAACCTCAGCAATTTTCATTACATCTTTGAAAAGTCCTACCAAAAGCTTTCCTGACTAAGCAACACTAATCCTCAAAACACCTAGACATTTATCATTTTTTCTCACTTCTTCTCTAATTCCATATGGGATTTCAAGATCTTTTCAGCAAAAGGAGTTTCAGCACCTGATCATCAGTTTTCAAACCAGAGACGTCAACAGGTAAAGGAATCTGCACTGCAGTTGTACATATGGGGCAAATAGCTACAGGCAGTCTTGGCTGCTACTGACTCACTTAACTCCCCTTAGCTGTTTATCACCTCTCCTCAGGCAGAGGTCCCTGGCCTGTCAGCAAAGCTGGGGGGACAGAATGTGAGTAACCATCAGTATTTTCAGCTTGAATTTCAGGGGTCTCTGTCACCCTGATTCTTAAGACTTCCTAAAGCCTTCTGAGTTTACATTCCTTTGGAGAACTTTCCCACACAATTTCTGTAAACAACATATTGTTTACATTCTTTTATGGGGGTGGAGAACACTTGATGTACTGGTGGTTTGTCCAATATCTTTGGAGAGGTGGCCCATTCACTCTCCAATCCAATGTCACCTTTGGGAAAGTACAAAAGACAGAGTCAGATAATAAACTTTCTTTTTTACCTTGCAAATAGCAGGTGAAATGAGTGACTCAGTTAAGATGAGGAAAGTCAAGGTTTTGCAAGTGTTGTGCTTCAGCAGAGGTCAGGCCACTGTTGAAAAATCTGTCCATGCTGGTACCTAGGGCACAGCCCCCTGGCAGCTGTGTGGACTATCGAGACCCTGTGGCCATCACTGCTGAGGGAACACCTCACACTGGCCTTGGCTCTGCAAGGAAAAATGGAAACAAAAAAATACAGCAAGCTGCAGCTCACATTCTCCACAAACAAGTGCAATATCCCACAGTCATGCCACTGGCTGGAACTTCATCAGAGGAAATTAAGTTTCAAACAAAATCAAACACACTGAGGTTGTCTGGAACAGAGTAAAAAGCAATGGCAAAATTCCACAACCCCCATGCTGTGCTGCAAACATGCAATCAAAAACAGAGTTTCATTATAAACAGACAACATCATAACAGCCTTTTTAAATTACAAACCTTAATCACTGTGAAAGAGACAGCTGTGCTAAGTAAGAATGGGGTGGGAAGTCACTGTTTTAAAGCCAGTTTTCTTCTAACAAAAATCCCCATTTTAACACCAAAACTTAATTGGGGAGAATTTTGTGGCTATTACCGTGAAAGAGGCTCTGTTTCTTCCTGTGTCTAACAAAGCAGCCTCCACTCCTGCTCTCAGTCCAGGCAAAAAGGCAGATGATTTCAGTTTATCTCAGTATTGTTTTTCAAAGTCAGGAGGAAATACCTGATGGAGAGCAGTACTAATCAGCAATCAGGAATGCTGGAAGGTTTACTGACTCTACAGAGCAAGCAACACATTCCCAGAACCAAGGTAAACTTGGTTTTAGGCTGGGGGTGTTCCCCTTGTAAAGATCTGGAATGAAACAAGTGTTACTCAGCTGAGTCCCTTCTCCTTAATAATATTTTTGGATGAGTCCTCCTCTCTATTATTCATGGGCTTCCAGGCTACCTCAAGCAGAGTTTAGAACCCAGCCTGCCTCACCAAGTTTGGCCAGTCTCGTTCCTTTCTATGCTATAATGAAGGATGCAGTTGTAAACTCCATGAAGCCCTGCTTGTATAAATAAACATTTACAATTAGATTAGTTTGATACAAATTCAATTCCTATTAACTTCAATTTTTGGATAGCTTACATCAGAAACCATGAAATATTTTCAGTAGTTTTTCACATGTCTGTGTTACATATATATTCTCCTTCAAACAGTTCATATTTAGACTTAAAATACTGAACAGGAATAAAACAAACATCCATAAAAATACCTTTCACAACTGAACTGCAATGTGTAGTAAAGGTTTCACTGCCATCTGGCTGCATTTAGAAAATGTAACACAGCAAGGAGACAATCCCACACACTTCAGAGTTTAAAACAAAAAATTACAAAGACCAGTTGTTAGACAAAATCTAGACCAGCAAAAAGTCTGTAGCTATTATGCAGGGTCAAGTAACTCCACTAGCCTCACCAGGGACAGCTCTGAAACTATGACTCCAATGGATACTTTTCAGCCCATAGCAGAGCCATGGGGGAATTCAGGAAATTCCCTAGTCCTAGGGATATAGATATGTCCTGTAGAATATATCTATATATAGATAGATACATAGAAAGAGATAGATATAGGAAAAATAGGGGGGGGAATAAATAATAAATTGAATGTCAAGATGGCAGAGCATATTAAACACAATAAAACAATCTTCTGCTTCAAGACAGAAGAACAGGGCAGGCCTAGCATTGGCAGGTTTTCCCATCCACCTCATCGTCAAAAAATGTTCTCCTCTCGTAAGGCAAACCCTTGCAAACACTTTTGCCGTGGCCTGACCATTTCCGAAGGAGTCTCTTTCTACCTCTACTCTGTGCAACGTGCTCTAAGCAGCTCTGCTTTAACAGCAGGACTAGACTGGATGCTCTCCAGAGGTCCCTCTCAGCCCGAACCACCCAGTCACTGTGGAGGACAGCTGCCGTTTGCCACGCGGCTGTGCGGGGCGGGAACAAGAACGAGAACGGCCCCGGGGCTCCTCGGCGGCGCCGGGCGCGGCCCCGCCCGCCCGTGCAGCCGCAATCGCGTCCCCCGGCAACGCCGCGCGGCCCGCGGGGTCCGCCCGGAGCCTGCGGCAGCGCCGCCGCACCCGAGGCGCCGCGGGCCGGACTGCTGCCCGCGGGGTGCGGCAGGTAGAGCCCGGGCACGGGGAGAACGGAGCGCCGGCACCCCGCCCGTTCCCCGTGAGCCGTGCGGACCGCGGCGGGGAGCCCGGGCTAGCGGCCCGTGGCGCGCTTCCCGCACGGCAGCGGCGGCGGCGCTATGTTGGTCCGGTGCCTCCGGTGGCTCCGGCACGCCTGCGGGCGCTGTAAGGAGGGGTGGGGCAGCTGCGGGGCAGCACACACTGCCCAACCCGCAGGTCTCGGGGGCTCTGGGGGATACACACCCCGCAGGCGCACCGCGGGCCGCTCGGCGCCCCTCAGGGGCCGCCCGGCAGTGACGCAGCGGCGCGGGGCGGTGGGCGAGCCCCGCCTGACAGACGGGGCGGGACCCTCGGTGCGGGCGCGGGGGGCCCAGGAGGAGCTGGGCGAGGCCATTCTCACCGAGGGGGGAATGGGGTTGCTCCGCGCGCGGAGAGGCCGCGGATGGGCCGGTTCCCCCCCTTGCTCCCGCCCCCATGGGCCGCGCCGGGTTTTGGCGGGTTTTCGGCGGGCGGGCGGCAGTCCCTCACAGCGTCTGTCCCGCTCCCTCAGCCATGCCCGCCTCCGAGGCCGTGCCGCTGCCGTCGCCCAGCAAGAGGCAGAAGGGCTCGGGGCCTGCAGAGGCCTCCGCACGTCTGCGCTTCACCAAGCTGTCCGAGAACGCCTTCGCCCCCTCCCGGGGCTCCGCCCGGGCTGCGGGCTACGATCTGTACAGGTGAGGGAGGGTGAGGGCACGGCACCCGCGGCGGCAGCCCGCGCTCGATGCCGCCCCGCTCGGCGAGCCCCGGGCACTCCAGGGGCTCCGGCGGCCGAGGGGGCCCTCGCGGCCTCTTGCCGAGCTGAGCCCCTGGACAGTCTCGCTGGCCATGCAGGAGTGGAGGCCAGAGCTGTCACAGCTTCTTCGCTCCTCCATCCCTGATCATTTCCTGGTATCTGTGGTCCAGCCATGTTAAAGGATTGATTTCATGAGGCACAGATGCCGCCGTTGGCTAAAAGTCAGGCTTGACAGAGCATCCAGAGTTGCTGTTGGTGCCCACACTGGCCAGGTTGCGTTCCTGTTGAAAGGAAAAAGCGGTAGTGCATGTGGGCCCTTCTTGCCAGCACTTGTGCTTTTCCACTTTCCTCTTGGCTCCGGGGTTGCTGCCTGGCAAAGGGCCTTGCAGCAGTTTGTTAGCGCTCCTAGCTGGAAACCACGTGAGTTGATGTACAGACTTAGGTTTTGGTTTGTTTGAATTAATAATGACCCTTATTCCTTGGCTTTCACTATGTTCAGGAATACCTGTAGCTAGACTTGGGGCTGTTTGCATAGTGCTTCTGTGATTAAGTCGCTAGTTTTGAACGAGTGAACTTTGCTGCTGCCACTTCTAACTTACCTTTTTTAATATTATGTAAAATAACCAGCCTTTTTCTCTCTTCACCTCTCTGACTTCTTTCCTGAAGATTTACTGCACCACACCTTACCCTTAATTCTTTTTATCCCTTTCATCTCCCCAGGTTTGTTTTTGTTCTTGTTCCAATGTTGCACGGTAGACCTGGAAAAACTGTGTTTTATAGAAAACCTTTCAGTGCTTCCCAGCATTTAAAAAACAGTTCTTTGTCAAGGTCAAGACATGACAAGTATTGTCACCACTGCTTTTCATTAGGCCTTCAGTTGGGTAGCTTCAGCAAGCTCTTAAAATCTCTGTAGCTCAGGTTTTCCAGGAGAATCATGAACTGTCAGACTGCTCAGAAAAAAAAAATTGTTGCCTAAAAGTTAACTTAATAGATTATTAATTTTGACTACAACTAGTTCATCTGCTGTAGAAAGCTTAATCAGATTGTATTATTGATAAAGTTTTTGCTATTGCACAAAAAATGCACAACCACGTTCACCTAATGGTTACTTTAAACTTTTTTTTTTTAATATCTTACTAATTAAAAGCCATTTGAAACTGGCAATTGCAGGAGTATACTGTTCAAATGACATTTCTGGAATCTTAAACTAGCACCATCAGAAAGGCAACATCTTGTGTTTCTGGATCTGTGTTAAATTTCACAAATCTGTAAATATTTGTTGTTTAAATTTCATGGTATAAATTCCCTGGCAGATTAATTCTGGGTAATTTTGTCCCTTAAGTTACAGTAAAGAAACTTTAAAAAATATTCTATAGAAACTAGTGTTTCTTTTTTTAATGTAGTGCCTATGACTGTGTGATACCACCCATGGAGAAGGCTGTGGTGAAAACAGACATTCAAATAGCACTTCCTTCTGGATGCTATGGCCGAGTAGGTGAGTATGCAGCTGTCAGAAGGTTGCAGAGTCATTCTAGAACAGCTTTGACACCATCTTCACATTTAGATTCTGCCTAAAGCTTTCAGAATTTGTCAACACAAAAAAAGGGGATGCCACATGGCTGTGTGATTTACTGAATCTTGCAGTATTTTCCTGTTACCTGTTGTCAGATGCATTTGAGGTTTGGTGTATGTCAGGTGACCAATGGATGATCTGTACTCTACATACAACTTTATAGGCTCCACAGTAGTTCATTATTTGTATGCAGTTTCAGAATTCAAATCACAAAATCTCATAGGTGTTGGACATACAGAAAATGCATCCCTGGTTGCTTAAAAATAAACCCCAGAGCATCAGTGTAGTAGAATTTGATTACATATTGTCATAGAATAGTTGAGAGGACCTGTACAATATATTCTGTTTATTTTGTGCATTCTTTATCTGAATTATGTATAAGTTCTTAAAGTAAAAAAGCAATAGCCACTCCAGGGGAAGAAAATTATCAGAATTTGCCATGTCCTTTTATGTAAAAGAGCACATGCATTTCTCTTATCCCGAAGAAAATTTTAAAGATCATGTAATTTTTAGTTCCTCATCCTAGTAGGCTAAGGTAAGTAAAAACCCAAATCCCCACACATAATTTATCTGTGTATAATTCTGCTTAGGAAATGCCTTGCCAGGTATTGTTTTCCTTCATAACTTAAATAGATTGATCTAATATTCTTCTGAGATGATGCTGAACCAGTGATAGTCACCAAAAATAAACCAAGATTAGATAGTCTAATCTAGTTGCCTCCCTTGGAGAAAACTACTCTGCAATTGCAGGTCAAATAAAGATATGTTTCCATTACTTAAAAATTGCAATTTTATTGTAGCCTGTTGCAGCTGTTACTCTGTTTAATATATATGTAAACTCTTACAGTAATTCCTGTAATATGTTTATCTTAAAAAGACTGTGGAAACAATTGTCATTGCCAAGACTGTGCAAACACACTGTATAAACTATAAATACTGTCTTTTTAAAGAAATAAATTGTAATACTTAAAAAAAATTCTTTTCTAGCACCACGTTCTGGTTTAGCTGCAAAGCACTTCATAGATGTTGGAGGTAAGCTTTTTGTTCTTTTTATTAAGACTTGGTAAGTATTGCTCACAGAAGTGCCTTAGTTTCACACTGTAAGGTGCAAATAAATGATGGTTTCTTGGGGATTCTGGCAAAAGAGAGAGACCTGAGAGAGACAGGTCATCATAATTAATGTTAAAGTGTTCTTAATTATTAAAAAATACAGATTTTTTTAAATAATACTATATCATAATTCTATAGACAGTGTCTGCCATAGAAGTTACTTTGTGGTTTAGACATTACAGATGCTTCTTACATGCTGGTTTCTCCATTTTTTTTATCCAGCAAGTTAACTTGAGAGTTGCAGGTTTTTCTAAATTTTCAAAAATTGCGATACTTCCAGTGTTACTAGCACCTTAATTAGGAAGTTAAGAAATGCCATTGGATTAACCCAAAACATTATATAAGAATGCTGTGTAAATACCTTTTCCATACTGGATGTAGTGCAGAGATTGCAGGGTAACTAGGGATCATTTGCACTACAATTTTTTTTCAAAAGCTGAAGGAACTACTTTAAAAAATAGGTTTTTATTCTTAAGTGTGCATTTTGTGGTTCAACATTTAAAACTTCAAGGTACACTCATAATACAGTTTCCTCTGGTGTTAGTAAGCCCTAATTACATTGTATAAGCTGGGGAATGTCTTGGAATGGCATTTAATTTTAGTATGTAAATTATTTCTGCAAGTAGACTTCAAAATACATGCTTGGGACCACAGGGAGGCCCAAACTCATGTTTTCTACTGGAATTACATTTCCTCTATCTGAGAGAGAAACTCTAAAGAAGCAGAATATAATTGCTTTAATGTAGCCAATCTTCTGAACTATGTAGTTAATACAGTCATACAAAATACAAGAGTAAGCTAGTTTTATAGTCTTGGTACTAGAATATAGCTGTGTGACAGTCATTTCCTTACACCTCTGATTCTGTTACCTTGCCAGAGGGACAGGATTTGGATCTGTGCAAATCCATAGCTCTCAAATGAAATATTAGAGTTAAGAACAGATTTCTGCTTGACACTGAATAAGCTGAAGTTAGCAGAACAAATGGGGCCTGAATTTAGTCCAGCTGTCTTGATTTCAGAAAAGGTATTACTACTAAAATTAGTAGCACAGTGGTAAAGCACTTCTTGACATGTGATGGTGTTTTTCAGTTCCTTTTGCAAGATGGATAAGCATTTTTAGATGTCTCAGTATTTGCATATATATTGTTAGTTGTGCATCAGAAATATAAAGGATATAATTATGAGATACTGTAATCATTAATTGAAACCTTATCTAATCTAGTTATCTCATACACTGACATTTACTAACTGGGTATGTCTCGAAATTCTCTCTCGTGACAGCTGGTGTTATTGATGAGGATTACAGGGGAAATGTTGGTGTGGTACTGTTCAACTTTGGCAAGGAGACGTTTGAAGGTAGGTGTTAAGCCTGGCAGAACCTATTTTCAGCCATCTGACTGGGAACGAGAAACTAATTTTTTTAAGTTTATGCAGAGGTAGAATTAGCTGGGAACATTTTTATTCTCTCAGTTAACAAAAACACAGATATTTCAAAACGTCCTGTCAAGGGAACATGTAAAGATTCTACTCATAGCTAATTAAGCAGCATTCAAAAAAACTGTTCCCAAAACCACCACACCACCACAAAAGCAAACCAAAACATCCCTACCTAGCTAAGCTTTAGATTCACAAGCTGTACTGAAATGTAACTTTTATTAAGTTATTACCTTTCTCTGAAAAAAAAAAATAGCTGAGCAATTTAAAAAAAACTTTCTCCAGAATCCTGGGAAGCATGAGGATTTTCTCTTTATTACACTGTCTTTCTGCAAAAAGTCAGTTTTAAGTTTCAGTGCCCAGTTGTAAGAGATGTGCTTTTGTGGCCTCTTCTGCATCTTCACATCATAAGCTGCTTATGGAAGTTCTGTGAGCCAGACTGGTTATTAGTGAGAAACTCGGTTTTCCTTTTATCAGTTTGCCTTTTTCACCCCAAATTCCTGGGTCCAGTTCATAAAAGGAGCAACATTATCCATACAGCTGTCTCTCCATCTCTGCAGTACTTATATATAATGAACTTAGGATGCCAGAGAATGGCAGCAGGAATGAATGGAAAGGCCTTGAGGTGGTACAGCTGCCGACAGTCACCACAGAAGGACCAAACAAAAGTTTATCTTAACCTGTATTTTTCTGGGTCTGTTAACATCTGTTTAGATAGGTTTCTAATAAGTGTTTTCACTTTTAGTATATTCTGATACTCTTTAAAGGAGATTGTTTAAAGTCTGTATTTGTTGTTCACTTTTTTGAAGGAACTAATAATATTTTAACTTCTCTGCAGTTAAAAAAGGAGATAGAATTGCCCAGCTCATCTGTGAACGCATTTATTATCCTGAGCTAGAAGAAGTTGAAGTAAGTTGCCAAAAGAAAATATTTCTGCATTTTCAGTGATTATTAGTTAAGATACTTGTATATAAGAGGAAATTTATTATATAAATAAATATTGGCTAAAATTACTTTCAGTGGTAAAACTGCATAGCAGCAGTACTACCTGAATGAAATTATATTTGATTCTTTGTACATACTTACCAAAAAAGAAAAAATCTATGCAAGTTTTCAGAGTTTTTGAGGAGCAGTTCAATATATACTAGAAAAGGTTGTCTCAGAAGCATTTGTTCAAGCTTGTGCAAAAGATATTCTAAAGAGTCTTGCATACAGTTTTTGTTTCTTAATTATAGCTGTTGTTACAAGTAAATGGTAGATAATATCTCTTGTACAGAAACAAAAGGCACTAAGCCAGCTTATTTTAATTGATGTCTTTCAGGCTCTGGATGATACAGAACGTGGTGAAGGTGGCTTTGGCTCTACTGGAAAGAACTGAAAATTACTTGAATACGCTTTCTATTTTTGGTTTTTTGTTCTATGTTTTCTAAATTTCCATCTGAATTAGAATTTTTGGAGTACATAAAAATATTTCAAATTTTATTGAGACTTCTCTGTATCTGTGCTGCAGTGAATTTGTCTGCATAATGAGGAAATATGCATGACTGGCTTAACTTAGTAGTTGATGTATTATTTTCTCTTTCAAGATGTTTGGTCCTCAGCAATAAGAACACATTGTTTATGTGACAATTATACTGTAATAAACGAAGAAATAACTTAATGACCTAAAATACAACAGCCAGTTGTTCCCTTGCCAGTTTTTTTAGACTTCTGAAAGCTATCTTCAACATGGTTAAAGATTTCATACTGAGAGCCTGTTTCATACAGCCTCAGTGACAGCATCAATAGGACTTTCCATTCTGACATCAAAATCAGAATAAGAAAAGATATTTAATATTGCACCCTCTACAACCTGTCCAAATACTTGTGTTTCTGTTCAAAGCTAAAGTTCTGACTTTGATCCTTAGCTCATCTTCAAGTGGCCAATTTTTCAGCTCTCTTATATTAAAAGAAAAAGCAAAAAGTGTTTGAGTTAAATAGCACAACTCATCTGAAAATAACTTCTGTGTAGTAAATAAGAGCTATGAATTACACTTTTGGAATATTTGTTACAAATTTATCAATATGTTAATATCTGAAAGAAAAATTCTGAATTATTTAAGCAGTGCATAGTTTGGCTTTTTTTAAGTTTACTTTTGTCCAGTTAAGATAATTTTTTTTTAATCTATCCTAAACCTGATTCAATAAGTGTGTGGAATTTCTTAGATGGCTCTCTAACTTTCAGGTGAAAGAACACGCAGAGAAGAGAAGAAACAAAAAAAGGAAAGAAAAGTGACTATTTTTCCACTTTACATAAAAGAATTAGAAAAGGCTCTGAAGCTCTCAAACACTTTTTCCTGCAGCTGTCTGTACTTTAAGATTTTCTTATCTGGAAGGTTACAGGTAGGAAATACTGTGCATTAAGTTAGCAGTAGAAAGGTGTTCCCTTTGTAGGCTGATGTTCATACTGCTCTTCTGCTGGGTAATTTCAGCTCAGGATAATCCTGTTAGTATTAATTTCATGTTCTTGTCTAGGACTATTTTTTGTGAAGTATGCCCAAAATACTACACATTTTATACATTTTATCCTGCCCACTCCTGCAAGGAGCTGCACAATAAGGAGCAGTGTAACAGCATTTAGATCCCTTCAGCCATGGGATAGGCATTACACTGGCTTGGCAGTGCTGAAACAAGAATTGGATTCATCCTTGTCCAGCCTTTTCCTCTAAGTGCATGATATGCTGGTCAGTTGGTTTGCTGTTGGTCCTTACCCCTCATCATAGTGCTCTACTTGGATCTGTACACCCAGACAGACCAACGGGAGCAGGCACACCCTGCAAAAGGCTGCTGCAAGCAAGGAGCACCAATCATACCAATGCAGTCTAAATGAACTGGGAAAGCTGAGCTTATTTTATTCAGTTTTGCAACCTGCCAAAAAGGAATTTAGAGGATATTTAAAGGTCTTAAAATCTGTGATCCTTTTGTGAAAGCTGTTTCCTCTTCTTGGACTGTAAGATAAGAGAAAGTTTTGCTGCAATTTTTAGTTTCCACCTCCTGAAGTAAAGACCCAGCAGGGGTTCCACTAATGCAAGTCCTTTTTTAAAAAAGATGCTGCAAGAGACTTCACTTGGAAGAGCAACCTACAAGGAAGAAGTTGGAGTTCAGGTGATACTCATTACTTATTGTACCTGATGGAAACTGATCTGATTTCCATTTTGGAAAATAATGCTAATACTACAAATCATGATCTCAGGAGCTATATCAGACATATAAGGAAAAAACAAATTTACATATGCATACCTGCAGTAACTTGTCAACATTAAAACCATTATCTGTCATTACCAGAAAAGGCTCACTTGTTTTGAAAAATCTGTGTGGTGGAGCTCCTCTCCGTTGTTTCTCAGTACTTCTCTAGAAAAGCACATCATGAGTTTCAGATTGCTGCAAGGCCCTTCCCAGTAAGGACCTTGGGAATGTTTATCTGAAATGAGAAATGTTTTCAAACTTGGCTCTACACTGAGCTCCTCTGTGCACCAAGCCATTGCATGGGTAAGGAATTCTGGTGATTCCTGTTAGAGTATTAGGGTTTGCTTTTCAATAGAAGTAGCAAATCTATGAAAGACAAATATTTCTACCCAGGCAGCAAGAGTTACCAGTGTATTGAAAGTTCTAAAGTTAATACTGCTACTGCAGATCAAGGCCTGCATTTGAAACTTGTAGAAACTGTACTGGGACTGAGTAGAGGCTTCTTAAAACAGCATTTGCTACTCTATGGTTCAAACAAGGATATAAATGTTTTATTTATAGTCCCATAATTTTGTTAATATGAAAAACAATACCCTCCCAGTTAATTTAATGTTCCCTTTTTCGTATAATATCTACGTTACAAAAGTACATTATCTTGGTATGTGGCAAGAGAGGGGGGACTGAGAAACAATCTGTTTTTCATTACTTTATCTGAGACCTATCCTACCTCTATTACCTAGTTGTAAATTAGTTTTGTAATTCAGTAACAAACTGCCTGAGTGTGTCGTTGAGTGCACATGCTTCAGCTCGGGCACTAACTTCAGAAGTTGCCCAGCAATGTACACAGGGCTCACTTCTGTGTAGACAGATTGATGTCTCCAGAGCCTGCCACTGGGGTGCAATGCCCAGGGCTCACTGCTGGTGTGAAACTCAAGAGATGTAAAGCTATTTCCAAAGTAACAAAATGAGTAAAAATTACATTGGGCTGTTCTCCAGGCAAAGCTACTCTAATTCAACTACTCACATTGTTGAGAGGAGAAGAATGATCTTGTGTAAATGAATCATGAAGCCTTTTATGAATTAAAATTAATTTGTTGGGAATTCTTATTTACAGCAGAGAAGAACATTTTCCTGCAGGGAAAGGAGAGAGACATTACTGACTAACAATTTACTTCCTTTTTTTTAGAAATGGATTTGGCTTTTTACAGGGATAGAGAAAATCTGGACTTTCACTCCAGGTGAATTTGGAAGTTGAGATGCTTAGCCACAGGTACACCTTCATGGTTTGAGTTCTGTTGTGAGATCTGAGAAGGTTCTATTTTTTATTTCAGATGCAATATTTACAATAACCTCTATGTCCTTAGAAAGGCAGAGGGTCCTAAGCTGATGAACTCTCCACTTTTGGACAAAAATCTTAAAACAAAATTTATGGCAGTAATACCACTGCTACCATTGATCTTCAGTTCTTTCTTTCCCCAGGGTGTTAACTTTGTGTTTAGTAGTTGAGAATTTAGGCACCACTTCCTCAGCTCAGCTACTCTTACATTACTCTATGGCATGGTAGGAATTTTTAAATCTATTTAATGTTTTCTAGATCAGCCACTAGATGGCACTTAAAGTTTGCTTTTTTTTCCACTTGTTTTTCAGAGGTATTTTTCAAAGATTTGTTCATCTATAATTAAGAGTTGATGACTCCCACTGGGACTGTGTTGGTGGAAAGAAAGATGCAGCAATATTTGAGTGAAAGCAGGCAAAAGTATAACCATTAAAGGGGGAACAATGACAATAATTTAAATAAGGTTTGGGTGGTTGCAGTGTTTGCATAATCCCTCCTGGCATGCAAGAGCAGTAGAGAAGCCTGTGGCTTTTCTCTCCTGCTGTGTTTCAACAAAAATGGAAAATTGTAATGAACAGCAACATTTTTCCTATATTTCGTATTCACTGTGTTCTTACTCTCTCTTCCTCCATTCCTTTAAATGGAATGCAGACTACTTAAGGATTGCATTGTAACGAAAGTAATATATAACCTGGTAAACTCAGTTTGGATTTGGATTTTCCAAATGAGATGCCTCTGGCTGCAAGTTCAGGATAGAAATTAAAACTTACTTAATACATGTTAACTCACTAAGGCTGGGTGATATATAGTAACCTGAATTATGTAAATTAAGGATCCCTAGTTTCTGTATTCCTGTATTGATTGCTGCTTCTGTAATAATAACAGTTTGGAGCTCTTGTATTTGTCTTCCTCCTAGTCTTCTAATTTTTTTTTTTTTTTTTTTTTTTTTTTTTTTTTTTTTTTTTTTTTTTTTTTTTTTTTTTTTTTTTTTTTTTTTTTTTTTTTTTTTTTTTTTTTTTTTTTTTTTTTTTTTTTTATATAACTATCATTGTATTTTGGCTTAAAGATAGTTAAGTAAGTTTTGGTATAAAGTAAACTTCTATGACCCTGCCTATTTCCTGTCCTGTCAAACCTTTCCTTGTAAGAATAACAGTGTCCTTTTATTTGGTGGAGTGTAGCATGATGTTTTTGGCAGGCCCAACATTTTTGACTTGCATAAATTTGTGACCTCAAGTGCAAGAAAAGTGAATGCTTGCTTCAGTACCTCATGGTTTTTGCCTAAAAAGAAAAGTGTCCACATGGCTAACCATTACAATTTCTGAAGGAAAATTATCAGCACACTTATTCCACCTGATTGCACATGACTGCACTTCCAAAGAAAAGAACCAGAAATAAAAATAAGTATTTTGCACTTAGTTATGTAAGTTACTGAAATCCTGAAAATATAGGGCAGACTGTACTGCCTTACTAGTTTCTAGAATTGGCACACATGGCATTTCCCTCACTAACAGCTATTTGGCAGTCTCTACCTCAGTAAGGATGTGATTCTGCAAAGTGTAAATTCAGGTCTGCTGCTGGGCTAAGAATGTCATTGCATGGTTAAAGGTTGCAGGATCAGGTCTGAAGTGAATTTACGTAATTATTTTCCTAAACTTTCCCTCCATTAACTGTGTGGTTATTTAGCTCTTTACCCCTGAAGTGATGCTTTTTCCTTACTCAGAAGACAGCAAGAAAGCCTTTTACCCTGCCAAGTCTGAAAACCTGACAGATTAATTTTATAATTCAAGAGCTCTCATCCAGAAAGTAACTACTGTATTTTAACATGTAAAGTATGTTTAAACAAACACATGTGAGCTGTGTATGCCTACTTCCTTGTTTCCCCTTAGATTTTGATGGGTTTTTTTTCATTGTCACAAAAATTTTATATTAACCTTCTGCTTTTTAGAGAACATTTGTATAGTATAATTCATAACAAGAGTTTTGTGTTAATCAATACTGCTCATAGCCTTGAACTGAACAAAGTTACCTTTTGTCTACTATTGATTGTAGCAAAGGAAATAATTTGCTTTCATTTTGTAAAAGGAAAATGAAAAACAAACAGACATGAATATACCATCCTTGGCAAGGTAGTTTTAACATGAGTATTTTTGTTTATAGACTCCTACTGTGAAAAGTTGTCTCTAAGTGTCCAAGACAAAATAACTATGTATCCTTGTTGGAAAGAAACATGTTTCCTTTGCAGCTAAACAAATTGTGCCGTATCTGGCAAGCACGGTAGCAGTGCTGTCTTGCTAATACACCTCAATCCTGATGACAGCCTTCCCACCTGCTTAGCTTACACTCTGTTCACTGCCAAATTCCTGGGACCCTTCCTTGGGTACAGGAGAGCATCAAGGAATTCCACTTGTCAGGTTTTCACAGCAGCAAACAGAAAAACACCATCTCACTATTCCACATAGGAGTTACTGCTGGCAGCAAGCCAAGCTGATCAACATTACAGGTAATTCAAGCCATTTAAATTCTGCAAGAGTATTTTTCTTCATCCTATATAAGATGCTGTATCTTAGTAACATATATAGGCTAGAAGAAGTCAAAAGAAAAGTAGGTGTTTTGTAGAGGAGAAAGTATATTTCAGTCCTGTTCTTATCTTTCTTCTCAACTTGCATTTAAGTTGTTAGTAACATAAGAAAACTGAAAAAGGAGCTGTGACAACAACAGGAAAACATGGATTCATCAAGAACTCATTGCTCTCCCTGGACATGAAGAGGTGACCGAGAACTCCACTCATCTTGGTGAGGGATATTTTGTTTGGGATGGGATTTTTTGTCTGGTTAGTTGGGTTTTAGTACTAATCATACCAATTAAGCTACTAAAAGTTTTCCAGGAAAAACTGGATAGAACTCACTGCCTGGAAGACTGCCACCAGATGTAAAGCCAAACTGCTGCACCAGGGACACAGCAAGATACTGGGTTTTTTTGTTAAAAATCATTCTTTATTGTATACTTTGTTATCAGTTTCTAGCCAAGAAAGGCTTTAAGAGTGGCTTTTAAGAGGGCCTCATATTTTTGAAAGCCTGACAGATGTGTCCTGCCCTAGGTCACCTGCAAAGAGCCCCCAGATTGCTGTTCATAACTTTCCCAAATGGCAGCTGAGTAAGACTGACTGATAGTCAAAACAGGCAAGCTTTCACTATTGTATCTTGAGCAGGCTGGAGGTCTGCTGTGTAGGAGAAAGAAGTCTCTGTTTGCATTTACTTTTTATTTGGATGACCTTTGAGATGCTTAGCATTTATGGGACAGCCTGGACTGAAGAGAAAAACACTCAGGCACTTCCAGGTAGTTTGGATCCTACAACAGGATTTTTAACTTTTCAACTCTGCCTGCTCCTTAGCCACCTGCTTGCCAACAGAACCTGCCTATTTATTTTTACATCATAATTTTCTGCTAATAAAGTTGATTTTAAAACTATGAGAGATAGCAATAATAACAAATTGGACTCTACCCCCTCCTCCTGAATTTGCTATTCAAATATACAGAACTAATGTCCAAGGCATGGCTGGATATTTATTACAGCATGAAGTGATCACTGATTCCAGAGCTGCATACAAGCTAAATGAGAAATTATTACTCATTTGCAATTATTCCAGGAAATCTTGAGTAGCTGCCAAAATAATAGAACAGCTGAATGAGAAGAGGGATAGGATCCGTTTAAGCTGGCACTCAGGCTAAAGAAACCTATGTAAAGTCACAGCCATGGGTGTCTGG